CCAAACCGTGAGCATGGAATATCTTTCCAATTCTTTATGTCTTCTTTGATTTCTTTCAATAATGTCTTATAGTTTTCAGTGTACAGGTCTTTCACCTCCTTTGTTAAGTTTATTCCTAGATATTTTATCCTTTTTGTCATGAATGTAAATGGGATTGTATTCTTGACTTCTCTTTCTACTCATTTGTTAGTGTATAGAAATGCAACTGATTTTTATAAGTTGATTTTGTACCCTGCAACTTTGCTATAGTTGTTGATTATTTCTAATAGTTTTCTGGTGGATTCTTTAGGATTTTCTATGTATAGAATCATATCGTCCAAAAACAGTAAGGTTTCCTTCTTCCTTTCCAATTTGGATACCTTTTATTTATTTTTTTTCTTGTCTAATTGCTCTGGCCACAACCTCCAGTACTATGTTGAATAAGAGTGGCAAGAGTGGGCACCCTTGTCTTGTTCCTCTTCTCAGAGGGATGGCTTTCAGTTTTTCACTGCTAGGTATGATGTTGGCTGTGGGCTTGTCATATATGGCCTTTATTATGTTGAGGTACTTTCCTTCTATAACCATTTTATTGAGAGTTTTTATCATAAATGGATATTAGATCTTGTCAAATGCTTTCTCTGTGTCTATCGAGATGATATGTGGTTTTTATTCCTCATTTTGTTAATGTGGTGTATCACATTGATTGATTAGCGGATGTTGAACTATCCCTGTGTGCCGGGTATAAATCCCACTCGATCATGGTGTATGATCCTTTCAATGTATTGCTGTGTTCGATTTTGCCAGTATTTCATTGAAGATTTTTGCATCTGTGTTCATCAGTGATACTGGCCTTTAATTTTCCTTCTGTGTGTTGTCCTTTTCTGGCTTTGGTATCAGGGTAATGTTGGTCTCATAGAGTGAGTTAGGAAGCATTCTGTCTTCTTCAGTTTCTTGGAATAGTTTGAGAAGGATAGGTATTAAATCTTCTTTGAATGTTTGGTAGAATTCTCCAGAGAAGCCATCTGGTCCTGGACTTTTGTTTTTTGGGAGGTTTTTTATTAATGTTTCAATCTCTTTACTTGTGATTGATCTATTCAGATTCTCTGTTTCTTCTTGATTTAGTTTTGGGAGGTTGTATGAGTCTAAGGATTTATCCATTTCTTCTAGGTTGTCTAATTTGTTGACGTATAGTTTTTCATAGTATTCTCTTATAATCCTTGGTATTTCTGTGGTATCCATTGTAATTTCTCCTCTTTCATTTCTAATTTTATTTATTTGAGCCTTCTCTCTTTTTTTCTTAGTGAGTCTGGCTAAGGGTTTGTCAGTTTTGTTTATCTTCTCAAAGAACCGACTTTTAGTTTCATTGATCCTTTCTATTGTTTTTTTAGTCTCTATTTCATTTATTTCTGCTCTAAGTTTTACTCTTTCCCTCCTTCTGCTGACTTTGGGCTTTGTTCTTCTTTTTCAGGTTCTGTTAGGTGTAGTTTAAGATTACTTATTTGAGATTTTTCTTCTATGTTGAGGTAGGCCTGTATTGCTATAAATTTCCCTCTTAGTGCAACTTTTGCTGCATCCCATAAGAGTTGATATGTTGCATTTTCATTTTCATTTGTCTCCAGGTGTTTTTTGATTTCTCCTTTGATTGCTTCATTGATCCAGTGGTTGTTCAGTAGCATGTTGTTTAGTCTCCACATATTTGTGACTTTTGCCGCCTTTTTCTTGTAGTTGATTTCTAGTTTCATAGCATTGTGGTCAGAAAAGATGCTTGATGTGATTTTGATCTTCTTAAATTTATTGAGGCTTGCCTTGTTTCCCAACATATGGTCTCTCTTTGAGAATGTTCCACGTGCACTTGAAAAGAATGTGTATTTTGCTGTATCTAAGTCCATCTGGTCTAGTATTTCATTTAAGGCCACTGTTTCCTTGTTGGCTTTCTGTTTGGATGATCTATCCATTGATGTAAGTGGGTTGTTGACGTCCCCTACTCTTATTGTGTTGCTGTCAATTTCTCCCTGTAGGTCTCTTAATAGTTGCTTTATATACTTTGGCGCTCCTGTGTTAGGTGCATATATATTCTTAAGTGTTAAGTCCTCTTGGTGGAAAGTCCCTTTTATCATTATATAGTGCTCCTCTTTGTCTTTCCTTGTCTTTTTGTCTTGAAGTCTGCTTTGTCTAATATAAGTATGGCAACACCTGCTTACCTTTGCTTGTCATTTGTTTGGAGTATCGTCTTCCATCTCTTCACTCTGAGTCTGTGTTTGTCTTTAGAGCTGAGATGTGTTTTCTGGAGGCAGCATATTGTTGGGTCTTGGTTTTTAATCCACCCAGCCACTCTGTGTCTTTTGATTGGAGAATTCAATCCATTTACATTTAGAGTGATTATTAATGTATGAGGGCTTAATACTGCCATTTTGTCTCTTGTTTTGTGGTTGTTCTATATTTCCATTGTTTCTTTTCCCTTGTATTTCTGGCTGCCATTTCAGTTTGGTGGTTTTATGTGATGGTTTTCTCTTTAATTATGATTTGTGGCTCTGCTTTGATTTTTTGTTTGTGGTTACCGTGAGGTTTGTATAAAACATCTCATAGGTGCCGGCCCAGTGGTACAGTGGTTAAGTGTGTGCGCTCTGCTTCGGGGCCTGGGGTTTGCAGTTTCGGATCCCGGGTACGCACCGATGCACTGCTTGTCAAGCCATGCTATGGTGGCATCCCATATAAAGTAGAGGAAGATGGGCACAGAAGTTAGCCCAGGGCCAATCTTCCTCAGCAAAAAAGAGGAGGATTGGCATCGGATGTTAGCTCAGGGCTGATCTTCCTCACCAAAAAAAAAAAGAAAAAAAAAACTCATAGATGAGGGGCCAGCCCAGTGGCATAGTGGTTAAGTTTGGCGGGCTCTGCTTTGGCGGTCCAGGTTCGCGAGTTTGGATCCCAGGCGCAGACCTACACCACTCATCACGCCATGCTGTGGCAGCGAGCCACATGCCAAAAATAGAGGAAGATTGGCACAGATGTTAGCTCAGGGCCAATCTTCCTCACCAAAAAAAAAAAAAAAAAAAAAAGATCTCTTAGATGAGTAGTTCATTTTCTGATAGCCTCTTATCTCCATTAGCCTAAGCAGATTCCATTCCTTTCCTCTTCCCTTTCTGAGTTATTGTTGTCATAAATTGTTCTTTTCTGTCTTGTGAGTTTGTGACTAAATTGAAGTGTTTATAGTTATTTTTGATGATTTTCTTCTCTTTGTTTTTTATGTTATAATTAAGTGTTTACTAACCTATTCTGATATCGAGCTGCAATTTTCTGATTCTATGTGTCTATTTATCTCCTTGCTCAAGGTTTTGTAAACCTTTGCTTTTTAGTTTCAGATGGGAGGGCCCCTTGCAACATTTTTTGTAAGGCAGGCCTAGTGGCAATGAACTCCCTCAGCTTTTGTTTATCTGAGAAAGCTTTTATTTCTCTGTTGTATCTGAATGATAGTTTTGCTGGATAGAGTATTCTTGGCTGAAAGGTTTTGTCTTTCAGTATTTTGAATATATCATTCCATTCTCTCCTAACCTGTAAGGCTTCTGCTGAGAAATCCACTGAAAGCCTCATATAGGGATTCCTTCGTAGGTTGTTTTCTTCTGCTTTGCTGCCCTTAATGTTTTTTCTTTGTCATTGATTTTTGATAGTTTTATTATTATATGCCTTGGAGAAGGTCTTTTTGCATTCATGTAATTAGGAGGTCTATTGATTTAATGTACTTGTAAGTCTAGTTTGGGAGGTTCTCAGCTATTATTTCTTTGAACAAGCTCTCTGTCATTTAGAGTGTAAATTTCTGTGGGTTCAGGATTGGTTTCTGGAGACTTGTCGTTTTCCTTCTGCTCTGAAGTGTTGCTGCAGTTCTTCATGGTGTTTGATGAAGTGATCCTTTGCCAGTGTATTTGTGGTAGTAGCAGGTCACAGATTCCACCCGCCACCCCTGATCAGGGGGCAGGAGCTGTGTTTTCTGATCCCACCCTGTCTGCTGGAAGTTGTGCTGGTAAGACTTCTCTGCAGTTGTGCACTGGCCACAGCCACTCAGCAGGTCATGCACACACACGCAGGCTCGGCCTCTGTGCTCCTCCAGCAGGTCACTCTGGTAGGGGACCACTGCGCTTGGCAGGGCACTGGCCAAGTTGGTGCACTAGGTGGGAGAGGGGGGTGCACTTTCTTTCGCACATGGGCTGGCTCTGCACTTGTGGCCGGCTCAGCCGAGCTGCTGTGCTTGGTGGGGGCTCTTTGGCAGGGGCTCAGCCGTGCCACTCAGTGGGGAGTGTTCCCATGGGTGGGGCTGCTGCAGCACCATGGGCACTCCCGTGGACTGGGCTACAACTCCAAAAGTGTTTGCGTGGGCCAGGCTGCTCGCGCCTCCTCTTACTGTCATGCCAGCTGCTGTGTGAGGACCCGCGACCTAGATTGCTGCTGCCAGGGAGGGGGAGGGGTAGGGTTGTGCTCATCTAGTTCCACTGCCTCTCGGGGATTCAAGCCATCCACCTTCAGATGCATGACTGAGCGGATCTCTTAGATGTCCCGTTGTGCTGTGCAAGGAATCCTCTGCTCGTTAATGAATGTCTGTTTAGTTGTAACTTAGAGGGGAGAGACGGAGGGAGCAGCTCACTCCGCCGTGATGCTGATGACACCCCTGGAGAATTATTTTTAAACCCTGTAGAGCTTGACGGATTATTATTTATGCTTTTACTTTGGGTCACTAGCTTTTAGAGTGCCTTCTCCAACATCAAACCTTCAATCATTTTTTCCGTTGATTAAATATATTATTATTGAAGTTATGCATCTGCCAGATGCATAACTTAACATTATAACAGCATTTTGATACATCAGGGTATATGTTCTGAGAGGGAAAATTGTAGATTACAGGAGCAAGTAGGAAACCATGGATCCAGACCTGAAGAGTCAAAGGACTTCTTCAGTGGAAGTTTGGCCTTTAATTGTCAGATTTTGTGGTAACTAAATACTGTATTCTCTCCCCTTCTCTTTCCAATTTCTAGTACTTAGTCATGGATTACTATGTAGGTGGTGATCTACTGACCCTGCTCAGTAAATTTGAAGACAAGCTTCCAGAAGATATGGCAAGATTCTACATTGGTGAAATGGTGTTGGCCATTGATTCCATCCATCAGCTTCATTATGTGCACAGGTAATCACCTTCTTATGTATTGTATGGAAACCACATTTAATGTGTTAAAATATTCCTTCCAGAGTTCCCTGAGTCATAGACCCCAGTTTCCAGGCTATCCAGAGAAGTCACACAGTTAGGGAGTCCTCACAGCACAGAATGACTTACCCGGGTCACCGCCTTTGAACCCCAGTGCGTGGCACCCAGGAGAGTGAGCTTTATTGGGACTGTTTTGATGATCTAATTTCTGTCAGCTGAAGCCGCTTTGTCTTTGAGATTTACTTGACATTGACTCACCCTCTCCCTACCATATTTCCTCCCCGAGATGTCTGTCCGCCCCCCAGAGCCTGTGCGGGGTCCCGATCCCACTGTGTCTCTGCTTTCTCAGCTCCGCCTTTTCTCTGTTCCACGCTGACCTCATGGGGCCCACGGCCTCAGTCACCCCACAGAAGGAAGATGGGCTGAGCATTTGGGGGTCACTTCACAGCAGCATGTAAAGGATTGAACTGCATGAGAGTGTAACTGCCTCTTGCAGAGGGTCGGAGTGGGTAGAAACATGAGGCAGGCCCTGCTGCTCTCCTGGTCCCCTCCACTGTGCCCGCCCTCTTTGCTGCCACAGCAGTGGCCTTAATGCCTCACCAAGGCTGCACCTTTGTATCCATCTCGTTCTGCTATTTCAGACGACAATTCAGTCCTGAGGGTTTGTCTGTCTGTTTCACTAGTTTTAGTTTTTTCATAGTAATTTCATTCCAATAGTTTTAAATTAGTAGTTCTGCAGGGCTTGTAACAAAGCACACGTCTCCAGCCCTGCCCCGCCCTGATTCTACTTGCCACAGGTAACTGTTGTCAGGTTTTTTAGATGTTTCTTCCAATACTTACCTTCGTATTTCTAAATAACAGTCTTCTATCACTATTTCCTTTTTTGCAGAGGAGAGGGAGTTAGATCACATCTACTAAAATGAAGATTTAACTTGGGGCCAGCCCAGTGGCATAGCGGTTAAGTGCATGCACTCTGCTGCGGCAGCCAGGGGTTCGTAGGTTCGGATCCTGGGCGCGCACCATCGCACTGCTTGTCAAGCCATGCTGCAGCGGTGTCCCATATAAAAAGTGGAGGAAGATAGGCACAGATGTTAGCCCAGGGCCAGTCTTCCTCAGCGAAAAAAAGGAGGCAGACTGGCATGGATGTTAGCTCAGGGCTGATCTTCCTCACCGAAAAAAAAACCTCCTGATGGGCTGCAGAGGCTCAGCCCCAAGTGGGTCTGCACTGACCACAACGCCACGCTGGGGATCATAATGGCCAGAATCTCTCAACAGCAACACTGAAGGTGGAAGACACCTTCACAGTCCTAAGTGGAAGATGATTTCCAATCTAAAATTCCATACTGGATAAACCATCAGTCGTATACGTGGATGGAGTCTGATCTCAAAAAAATTCTCTCACATGCCTCCTTTTGCAGGAACTATTGGAGGACATGTGCTACCAAATCAAAGAATAAACCGATAGGGGCCAGCCCGGTGGCATAGCAGTTAAGTGTGCGCGCTCCGCTGCTGGCAGCCCAGGTTCAGATCCTGGGCGCACACCAGTGCACCACTTGTCAGGCCATGCTGTGGCGGCGTCGCATATAAAGTGAAGGAAGATGGGCACAGATGTTAGCCCAGGGCGAGTCTTCCTCAGCAAAAAGAGGAGGATTGGCAGATGTTAGCTCAGGGCCGATCTTCCTCACAAAATAGGTAGGTAGGTAGGTAGATAGACAGACAGACAGACAGATAGCAAGTGCTTGAATGACCCAGTCGAAAGAAAGTTTTGTGTTTTTGCTAGCAAGTTCACAAAGTCAGATTTTATCTGAAGCCAGTACTACCCCAATCTCAGCTGGGTATATTGTGAGTAGGTTTATACCACATTTGGTCTGGCCAGAAATAAGTGAATTTTGTTGGCATGAGAGTGTTACACTGATGGATTTAACAAGCATGGTTCAGACCCTAGGCCCTAGCTTTGGGCCCCTTTCCTGTGGTTGAATGTGGGACATGGCAGCTTGGGGCAGTGCCCACCACCCTGCCTGCTGGGCTGCTGCATGCAGAACAGCTGCTACCTGGCTTTGGCAGCGGGACCCCTCAAAAGCTCACTTAGTGCAGGGAGCAGCAGGAAGCTAGGACTAGGGAGCATGCCATGCAGGTGGGTGCAGCCCCTTGCTGAGAGGTCAGCCCCAGATACCAGCAAACACAGAGACCAAGAGTGACAGATACACAAAGAGTTGCAGATGGAGAACGTGGCATCCCCAGAGAGAACAGAGTGCATCTAATGAACTAAATAAGAACAGGTACAATTTTAAGAGAAAGAATATTCAAAGAACAAAAAAGGTCTTGGAAAAGAAAAACTAGAAAAAACAGCTGAATAGAAGAGGTGGAAGGTAAAGTAGAGGAACTCCGACAAAGATGGAGAACCAGGGAGAGACGAGGTGGTCAGAGTGGCTGTGGAGCTGCCTCCCAGGTGGTGGAGCGGGAGTCTGCAGCCCAGGCCCATCCACAGTGGCCTCTGTGGGAATCGGACCCATCTGTTGGGTTTACAGCAGGAAGCTCCACAAGGGGCAAGGTCAGAAGTTGGTGCTGGCATATCACTCAGAAATGGGACAGTGATGGACGGAATGGGCCTGCCCTTTCAATGCATCAGGAAAAGAACAAGAAAGGAAGAAAGGAAGACAAAGGCTGCAGTCTGTCCATGGCTCTAGACCACCCCCACCCCACCCCACCCACCCTGCCTACACCAGTTTTTAACCAGAGTCACAGCAGCTGAGAGAAAAGGCATTTTTTCTGTGACTTCTCAGGCGTGTGCCTGACTCTTTGCTGAAAACGCTGCCGCCACTGGGTTTTGGAGAGAGAATGGGCTAGGCTAGTCCCAAGCATGGTGGTGGCCCACGGGGACCATCACCTCTTGGCTTGGCTGCTATCAGTGGATGGTGTGGGGGCTACCTGCCCAGCTAAGAAGCACTGCTGGTGGGAGCCCTGGGTCGGTCCTTGCTCTGAGCCTCCAGAGTCTCCTATGGTGTTCCCTGACAGAGCCTTTCTTTGTAACCTCCCTGCATGCAAATAGCCAATCCACTTTAAAAAAAAAAAAAAAAAATTTACTGGTGGTATTTTATTTTAAATACAGAATCCCACTGCCCAAATAACCCCGATGCCATTAAACAAACAAACAAACAAACGGAAGTAGTGCATTCAAATGGTTAGCAATTGAACACCCCTGTAAGGTGAAAAAAGAAGAGGGACAGCATTTCTGAAGACCCTTGCCCCTGGCTGGCTTCTCAGAGTGAAGTAGTGATTTTTCCACTGTATATTTACTACTTTTTCTATTGTGTACTTAGTACTTTTTTCCCTTTGTATCTAAAAGCAATCTGTGGAGAGACACTGTAAGATTTTGCAAGTATCTTCTTCCTCTTCAAAATTTCCTCCCTAGGTTTAGTGTCCATTGACAATTTTTGCCTGGGCCAGTCTTTACTATGATGATTGCAAGACGATGATTTCCAAATTCCAAGACCCATTCCACATTGAAGTACCTCCTTTCTCTCCTGTTAGTCTGTTTATTATCAATATGGATACGTGGCTCCTTTTTTCTCCCAATGGCTTATAATTTGTCCTTGTCTTAATTATTTTTGTGCCCAAATTGTCTCATGTTTGGCCAGTGGAAGCCGCTTCTAGCTGACTCCCATGTCTGTGACATGCCCTCATCAGTGTTTGAGAACTGCCTTAGTTTCTGGCTCATCTTGTATCCTCTCTGCCCCCACTCACTCATTTCTCTGAGGAACCGTGGTTCCTTTAGTGGGGAATGGTTCTCAAGACCAAGATCTGGGGGCTGAGTGTGCTCATTACCACAGGGGTGTCTGCTTCTAGGCCCCTTCAGTGGACAGAGTTAGTAAAATATATGTATGTACACATTTATATGTGTACACACAAATACACCTATACATAATATGGGGATCATGAGTTAACTTTCTGGCTTTCTGCCCTTCCATACTTTTGTCTCCCATCTTCTGCAGTGACACCTCTGGCTCCCAGCAACATCAACACATTGCCTCATTTGCCCAATCCTGTCATGTGTCTGAAATAGCTTCAGAATTGCTTTGCCCATGCTACTACCGAAAACAAACCTACTGAAAAGAGGTTCCCCTTTGCAGTGCTATGTTATTCTTTTTTTTTTTTTTTTTTTTTTTTTTAAAGATTTTATTTATTTATTTTTTCCCCCAAAGCCCCAGTAGATAGTTGTATGTCATAGCTGCACATCCTTCTAGTTGCTGTATGTGGGACTCGGCCTCAGGATGGACGGAGAAGTGGTGCCTCGGTGCGCGCCCGGGATCCGAACCCGGGCCACCAGCATCGGAGCGCGCGCACTTAACCACCAAGCCACGGGGCCGGCCTGTTATGTTATTCATTGGAGGTATAGTTGGGTTCGTTGGTTTCAGTCAGCTTTCCATTTTAGGCTCCCCTGCCCATGTTTGTTGATTTAGTTTCCTTTTTTGAGTATTTAGAACATTAGCATGTTGCAGTAAAACCACAACTGTACAAAGTTATACTCAGATAAATGTCACTTCCCTGCTTATCCCATCTACTTCGTGCCCACCCCTTAACCAGGTCTTGTCCTCGTTTATCATTTGTGTGGGTGCGAAAGATAAACACATATTTTTTTTATTGCTCCTTTTCTTAAACAAAAGGTAGCTTGCTAAATATGCACTTTTGAATTTTGTTTTTTTCACTGAATAGTATATTCTAGACATCATTCCATCTTTTTTACATTTGCACAGTACTCCCTATATATAGGTACCATAGTTTACTCAATCATTCTCCGGTGACTGGACATTTAGGTAGCTTCTAGTATTTCACAGTTATAAATAATACAGTAATGAAGAACCTTGTACATATGTATTTTTGTATTGTTGGTGTGTCTTGAGGGTAAATTCCTAGAAGTGGATTAATAGAGAAATAGAATACATATTAGATACATATTAGCATATTATTAAATACATGTTAGATTTATTAGATGCTGCTGGTTTCTCTCCATAGGGATTACACCTTTTCATATTCACACCAGCAGTGTATGCAAGTCCCTGTTTCCTGCAGCCTTGCCAATGTAGTGTATTTTTAAATCTCTGAATTTTTGTCGTCTGATGGATCAGAGATGGTGTGTAGTTGTAGTTTTCCTTTTTGCCATTCTGTGAAGTTGGACATCATTTATATAGTTTCCCTTGTGTACCTATGTGAATTATTTCATGTCATTTGCCCATTTCTCTATAGGACTTTTGGCTTTTTTCCTTAAATTGTTAAAGAGATATTTGCCCTTTATCTGTAATATATATTGCAAATATTTTTTCCCAATTTGCCATTTGTTTTTTTGACTTTGCTTGTTGTAGTTTTTTGCCATGCAGATTTTTTTATTTTATGTATAAAATTTATTGGTCTTGTCTTTTATTACATCTGGATTTTGAGTCATAGATAGAAATCTTTTTTTTTTTGTACCCCTAGAGAAAAAGGAAACCCATGTTTTCTTCTAATAGTTTCATTTTTTCATTCGTATGGTTTCGTTTTTTACATATGGATCTCTGATCCATTTGGAGTTTATTCTTATATATATAAAGTACAGGGAATGGATCTGATTTTATCTTTAAAATTTATCTTTAAAAGGCTCTCCAGTTGTCCCAACACTAACTTGTTTATTTAATAATCTTTGCCCCATTGATTTGGGATAATATCTTTATCATATACTTAATTTCTTTATGTAGTTGGTCTGTTTATGGACATTCTGTTCTGTCTATTCTGTTGTCTTTCTGTCTCTCCATGCATTAGGATCATGCTGCTTTGGTTATGGAGGCTTCAATCATGTAGGGCTTGTCCTCTCGTCATACCTCTTTCTCTTCAGTGTTTTTCTAGCTATTCTTATCTGTTAGTTCCATATGAACTTCAGTATCAACTTGTCTGGCTCCAAAAAACAAGACATTGAAATTTTTCTTTAATTTGATGGGCCCTTCAGTCTGTAGATTCAGGTGTTTTTGTGTGTGTGTGTGTGAAGAAGATTCACTCTGAGCTGACATCTGTTGTCAATCTTTCTCTTTTTGTTTGAGGAAGATTAGCCGTGAGTTGACATCCGTGCCAGTCTTCCTCTAGTTTGTATGTGGGTCACCGCCACAGCATGGCTTGACAAGTGGTCTAGGTCTGTGCCTAAGATCCGAACCCGTGAACCCAGGCCGCCAAAGTGGAGCACGCCAGATTTAATCACTTCGTCACAGGGCTGGCTCCTGAGGTCTTTTTTTATTTTTATTTATTTGTTTTTTTTGAGGAAGATCGGCCCTGAGCTAACATCTGCCAATCCTCCTCTTTTTGCTGAGGAAGACTGGCCGTGGGCTAACATCCATGCCCGTCTTCCTCCACTTTATATGGGACACTGCCACAGCATGGCATGCCAAGCAGTGCATCGGTACGCGCCCGGGATCCGAACCAGTGAACCCCGGGCCGCCGCAGCGGAGCGCACACACTCAACCACTTGCGCCACCAGGCCGGCCCCCTCAGGTCTTTTTTTATATCTGGAAAGTTCTCTTGGATTATAGTTTCAGATATTAGTTATGTTTTATTCGTTTGATTTCTTCAGGGCCTCCAATTATGTGTATGTTGGGCCTTCTTTGGCTGTCTTCCATTTCAGTCTCCAACTACTTTCCCTCTGACCCTTTTTGCTTCTTTCTTTGTCTCATTTTATTCTTTGAGAACTTTTCCTCCCTTTCTTCAATGCTTTTCATTAGATATTTTTTTGAATTTATTTTCCTTTGGGCATCTTGTAATTTAGTCTTCATTTCTGATAAGATTTTGTCTCTTTCTTCTGTTTCTTCCCTTAGTTAAATCAACTCTCTTTTCATTTCTTCCTGTTTTTGTCTAGTTCTGTTCTTAGTTTTTGTTTTTCTGCCTCATTGAGGGATTGTTTTGTTTTGTTTTCTCTTTTATGTTCTTGAGTGGTTATTTAAGGATATTTATTTCAGTTTGGAGTGCTTTGCTAAAGTTTTATTTTGCTTTGTGGATCTTTTTTTGAGTAAGAATTGTCGTCTTTTGCTCACATTCATTTGTGAGACTCATCCCTCTTGTCAAGAGTACTTGGTACTCTGTTTGTCTTCATTGAGGTATAGCGTTCTGTCTCATGAGGATAGTCCAGTTTGTTTATCCATTCTCCTTCAGGTGGACATTAGATGGATTCCACTTTTAGGCTATTATGAGATGTGCTGCTGGGAACATTCTTGTACTCCTCTTGGTGAACATCTTTTTTTGCTTTTAAATTTTGTATTCCCTTACGTGCTGTCCAGTCAAATAAACTTATTCTGCCAGGAAGGAAGGCTAGTGCTTTAAAGTCCACCCCCACTGCCCCCCACTCCCCACCCAGTGCTGGCAAGTACCCACAACAGTAGGTAGGACCATGGGTTTAGTGAGACAGACTCGAGTTTACCTTCCTGCTCTCCACTTGCTCCTGTATGACTGGACAGATTACAGGTATACCTTGAAGATATTGTTGGTTCAATCCCAGACCACTGCAATAAAGTGATTATCACAATAAAGTGAATCACACGAATATTTTGCTTTCCCAGTGCATATAAAAGTTATGTTTATACTATACCGTAGTCTGTTAAGTGTGCAATAGCACTGTGTCTAAAAAAACAATGTACATACCTTATTAAAAAGTACTTTATTGCTAAAAAATGCTAACCATCATCTGAGACTTGAGCGAGTCGTAATCTTTTTTGCTGGTGGAGGGTCTTGTAAAAAGCTCAGTATCTGCAATGCGCGATAAAGTGAAGCACGATAAAATGAGGTGTGCCTGTACTCAATTCTTAAGCCTTCGTGTCTTTATCTATAAAATACAGTTTGGGGGGGTACGTGGTGGTTTGTTAGCCTGTAGTGGTCTTGCCCCAGCTCTTTGCCTGACTCGCTTACTCATCAAGTCTCTGCTCAAGGGTCTCTTCCTCAGTGGTAATGGCCACCTGACTCCCTCCATGCATCACAGTCTCTCCCTTTACCTCATTTTATATTTCTTCATATTTATTCACAGCACTTGCCTCGTGGATTGTGCTCTGTGATACTGAGATCACATGCATATTCGTGCATTGCATGTTCGTTTTCTGACACCTCAGCTAGTGTGAAGCTTCAGGAAGACAGGTGCCGTGTCATCTGGTTACTGTTGTAGGCCTGGGGTTGAGAGAGGAGATGCTCAGGAAACATTGGTTAGCTGAGTGGTAGGAATCATAGTGGTGTCTCACTGGGTTAATCGAGGATTAACTGATGCACTGGAATGAGTGGTGATGGTAGTGATTGCTGCTGCCATACGCTGCTAGATCATCATGGGGAGACATTTTTCCTAGATTGTTACAGCTGTCATGAAATGATATTAGCATTTCCTTAGCTGATCTACTACTAGTTAAGGACTTTGACCTGCCTAATGTGTTGGAAATGCATGGAAATGGTTAACTTATGTATTTATTTTACTAACAGAGACATTAAGCCTGACAATGTCCTTTTGGACGTGAATGGTCATATCCGCCTGGCTGACTTTGGATCTTGTTTGAAGATGAATGATGATGGAACTGTAGGTATTTTTGTGGGAGATTTTCCATTTGGTTTTGGGTTTTGCTTACAATGAGAAGGGGCTTAAATTTTCAATTTGAGATACAATTAAGAAACCAGTATGTTAACGTGGATTAAGAACTGACTCCATTTAGGAAAAAGTTGAAATTTTCTGTTTAAGTTTAAAGCATCTCTATTGCTTTTTCTGTTTACAAAAGTAATACATATACCTTCTAAAATGGGGAGTTGTCAGGTTTCCTCAACTGGTTTCCCTAGGCAGCTAAAAGCATGCCACCACTGCAGTGAAAGAAAGGCAGCTCTTGGCTCCTTTCTTAAAATGCCCTGTCTGGGCTGGTCAAGTGGACAGGCCTTAACTGTGTAATCGTACATCCTCATTTCTGTCTGGGGGCAGATAACTTCCTGTCAGTCAGGGGTTTTCTCTCTGTGAGTGTTGTAGATCTGGAAACTGGGGTCCTTGATACTCAGTGTTCCAAGGGCCAACTGACACTCCCACTGCAGAGCAGGGGGACACCCCTGGACTGGCCATCACTGGGAGACCCGGGCTTGGGCCTTGGTCAGACCAGCATCATGGCTGAGTTGCCTCAAGTGGGGCTCCCCTAAATCGCTCACAGTCCAGTTCAGGAGATACTTCCAGCGAGCTGCTTTCACTGCATTAGGGGATTGTCTACATTCCCTCCTGTGGCCACTGTTGTGCTTTTTAGTCTTAGGTGTTTGAGAGTCTTTTCTTCTTTAAAGCCTAGACTTATCATCAAGTCTAACATAAACTACTTCTCCAGAGGAGAGCAATGTCTTCCTTTCATACTAGCAAGTTTTCAAGCAGCAGTAAAAGAGCCCATAAAACTGCTATCAGTTGACCATGTTTTAAAAGGAGTGAAGCAATTTACTCGCTTTCTTTCCACCAAGACAGGCTCTCTTATTTCTAAAAGTCTTGACCACATATTGATTCATTGATCGGTGCTGTCCTCAAATCCAGTCTCCTAATGACGAGAACGATAGCCTCAGTCTGAACTAGACCATTGGTTACCATCCTTACCTGCACATCACTCCCATCATCTGTGGACACTCACCCTGTGTTACCACCTAACACACCAGTCTTCCCACTGTCCACTACACAGCTCCTGCAGCTAGGCGTCTCAAGGTACAGAGGAGTGACTCTGGTCACATAACGGAGGCAGAACTCCCTGCTGATTCATTCATACTGCCTCCAGGGTGCTGCTTTCTACCCCATGGCTCTCCTCACATGTGACCCGACAGAGAGTCTGGCCTTTCCCCAGACAGGCCTTCTTGGTAGTTGTCTCCATGTCCTGCCTGACCCGCAGTCTCGTAGACTCATGCTGTCCGTGTGCTCCGAGACTGATCTGATTTCTCAGCTTACGCAGTCCCCCTGGCTTTCTCTGTGATGATTGCTGCCTGATTGCAGCTTTCCGTAAAGGTGTCGCTATGTTGAGTCCCGTTCCTGCTAATGTCAGTAGCTGAGGAACTGTCCTTTCCCTTTTAGGGGCCTTAGCCTCCCTGTTCTCTGTGTAGGGAATGCCTGAGCACCCAGCTAGTGCCTGGACCTACTCCCAGATGCTCCCGTTTGGGAGACCGAAGGGTAGGCTGTGGGTGAGCAGCCTTAGCATCCCCTGGGAGCATCTTAGAATCTCTGTTTCACAAGAACCCAGGTGGTCTCTATGCACATGCAAGTCTGAGAAGGTCTGGCCTGCACACAGATGGTCCCTAGACCACAGTTTGAGCAGTGACAGAGAATGTGGGAAATGGCACCCCCCGAGGAATTGTGATGCCATTTAGGGGCTGTGGTGGGCATTTGGGCATCGAGAGACCAGGTATCTAAGAGAGTCTCATGCATTCTGGAGACTGCCCAATGTTTAGTGCTGCAAGAGAACATTTACTTGCATTGAATTTTTGAATTACTAAGTTTTTAAATCATGATCATGTACCAGTTTTATTCCACGATGATTTCATTATCTGTTGTCCCTATTTTAGAGAAAGTAGTTAGAAATTTGAAATTAGAGATGTTCTAGGGTTTCCCTTCAGTATCGCCCTCTCCCCTAAGGTTCAATCCTCTGTGGCCGTGGGCACCCCTGACTACATCTCACCGGAGATCCTGCAGGCGATGGAGGACGGCATGGGCAAGTACGGCCCTGAGTGTGACTGGTGGTCTCTGGGCGTCTGCATGTACGAAATGCTGTATGGAGAAACACCATTTTATGCAGAATCACTTGTGGAGACCTATGGAAAGATCATGAACCATGAAGTAAGACATTGCATTTCCATGCCCTGTTTTGTTCTAGTACCAAGGCACAGGCCTGGAGGCAGAGGGAGCAGTCTAGAGGAGGGAGGGCAGCTTGGAAGCTGTTCGAGTTGTTCCGGAAGACATGATGGGGTTGGAGCAGGCTGGTGGCAGCCAGATGGAAGTCGAGAGATTCGGGAGAGGTCTAGGAGGTAGAATTGGCGCAGGTTGCTGACAGTAGAAGGGGGCATGAAGGGCAGGAAAGCTTCAAGAGTGATCCCATTTTCTGGTGGAGGGTGATGGTATTCACTGGTCAGAGTCCCTGCAGGAGAAGTGGGCTTCGGTAGAAAGACGCAGACAGCTGTGGTGGCCATGGTGAGTGTGAGTTGCCTTGGGACGGCCATGGGCAGGACCAGCTGGGCAGTTTGACCTGTGGGTCTGGATTCATCAGTTAGAAGCCAACTCTGAGTCTCAAATCTGTTTTCCCAGAAGTCAGTTCCTGTAAACAGATCACACATCTCAGCATAGAGGCATTGTTAATCCTTTCTTGATCCTGTTTCTTTTCCTCCTGTTTTTTCCTTTTTACTTCAATATTGCCTTCCTCTGTCTTTCCTTTGTTTTCTTTTTATTATTTCCTCTTCTATCTAATGTTGTTGTCATCTGTTTCTTTTCCTATGCTCTGTAGGCAAATATGTCTTTCTAACGCCACTTTCACCCTCTTTGCCAGTATATGCTTATATCTTTCTTTCCCCACCTGCTCTGTCACTCATACACACACCCCGGAAATGCTCCCCCTCGCGTGCTCATCTGTCCCCCAACAATTGCTGTGTAGGGAGCAGATTAACACTAAAGTGGTAAATGGTCTTCCACTTAACTCCAAGTCAAAACAGGTTATGCTTTTAAAAAACACTTTTCCCAAAATAGAAGTAAATTTTTACATTTATGAATTATTATATACTTAGCATAAAAACTTCACACAGTGTAAAAGTGCATACAGTAGATGGTGAAAATCACCCATCCACTGCTTAGCAACAGACACGGTTAAGGTAACAAGTGGGACTTGTGAACGCTAAGAGCTGGCTGTTACTGAGTGCTTGCCGCCTGTGGGGCCCTGGTCCAGTGCTCTGGTTCATTTGTTTATTTACCCCCGTGAAGTAGTGCCATTGTTGTCCCTTGTCATAGACCATAAAGATGAGGCCCAGACAGCAGTGGTGGCTTGGCATTCAGGCCCACTCAGCCATGTTTTGTGTGTGGCCTTGTGGACTGAAGCCGGGGGGTGGGGTGAGGGGTGGGGCTGGGGGGCTGTATTTAAATAAATGGCATAATATCACATATAACCAAGTTTTCTGTGGGTATATTTTGTCATGTTTCTGTTCAGTGCACAGAGATGGACCTTTCTGTGTGTGTGTGTGCCATATTGTTTTTTAACAAGTCTCTTTGATGGTCGTTTAGGTAATTTGCAGTTTTCTTGGTTAGAATATAATGCTATCATGAACATGTTATGTTTTCTCTTTATGACTTATTTCTCTAGAATAAGTTTTTAGACGTGGAATTGCCATAGGTGTTGGCAAAATGTTTTCTGAAAAGGCTGTGCCAGTTTCTGATCTCACCCACAACATATTGTCAGCGTTCTTTGCCAGTGTGATAGGTGAAAATTTATCATTGTTTTAATTTACATGCAATGTGGTAACAAGTCTGCCATGAATAAAACCGGCAAGACTAATGGTTTCCTTGTTTGCCGTTCTGGAACTCAGTTTCCTTAGCTTTGGTTTGCATTTAGTTTCCATGAAATAGAAAATGGCTGTTGCTTTGGAGCTGTTGTTTCTACTTTGTTTCCTGTGATGTCTGTCCACCTTAGACTTTTCTGAGTAAGTTTTCATCATGTGTCCACTGATTGCCTGCCCCTCCCGCCTCTACCCAGGAACGATTTCAGTTCCCTTCCCATGTCACGGATGTATCTGAAGAAGCAAAAGACCTCATTCAGAGACTGATCTGCAGCAGAGAGCGCCGGCTAGGGCAGAATGGAATAGAGGACTTCAAAAAGCATGCGTTCTTTGAAGGTCTAAATTGGGAAAATATACGAAACCTAGAAGCACCTTACATTCCTGATGTGAGCAGTCCTTCTGACACATCCAACTTCGATGTGGATGACGATGTGCTAAGAAATATTGTAAGTGTAACAACTGTTTTATTCTCAGTATTGTGTCACAGTAGGCCTGAATATTCTCAGTGTTATGTTGAAGGTGTTGCTTATCAAGATAATAAATCTTATAACTGTACTAATTTTTGAAAAATTTGGCAATTGTCTCAAGAAAATGTACCTTTGATTCCAGTCTTCGGCTTGGTCCTTAATGTCCCTTTTTTAAAATGATGGGTTACTCAATTTGAGTAAAATTGAGTTCAGTAGCTGTTTTGTTTTGAAATTCATCAGAAATACTTTTGCTTTTATTTTCATGGCACTTTGTACCTTTTCAAAGCAGTGTCCCGCATTATCATATTAGAGCTTCACCACAGCCCTGTTGCCACTTCTGAATGTAAAGACCCAGCCAGGAGCCCAGCCTGTGGCCCCAGAGGTGGCATATAGGCCTCTCAGTTTCTGATCCTTCTCACTATGTCCCTGCACATGAGAACACGTTCAGTCTTCCTACCATCACGTTTTCAATGTCTGCGTGTCTGTTTCTTTATGCAGCAGGCGTTAGGGAGTGACAGTGATGATGTGCAGATTTTGAGTCTTTCTGCTGACATTTGAGATCATGGATTTTCCAAGTCGGTCCTGGCTTTGGGACCCTCTGGTGTCTAACTTGGTCTGATGGGGCTTCTGACACACTAGTCAGTGTACCTTTGGCCCCAGAGAGTTTTGCTCATATGTTGTAAAACTATTTTGGTCTCATCAAACCCACCTTTTTTAGTCCATACATGTGTCTTGATTTGAGGATAGAGAAACTGAGGTTTAACCAAGTAAAAGAAAAATCTTGATTACTCCTTAATTTAGAGAATTTCTCTTACTGAAATAAGAGCTGAACTTTAGACCACGTTGAGAAAAGTATTATCGTTGTTGAAAGGATTATCCGTAGACTCCAAAGAAATTATTTTCACAGTGAAATTTCCCAGATAAATTATAACTTTAGTTTTATTTTTAATAAAGAAGAATCCTTAAACTGAAAAATAGAGTTGTAATAAACTTATCTAAAATAGTCTGCCTTTGGGTTCCAAACCTCCTTTCTGCCTCTGGCCTAAGTTTCAGGCCAAGAAATTGAGAGCGCCTCGCCTCTGCCCCATGTCCTCCAAGGGGCTGCACCTTTGTCGCCACTGCTCGTCTCTGCTCAAGGTCTGTTGATCAGTGGATGCTCTGGCTTTAAAAAGTTTTAAAATCATGGGGCCAGCCCCGTGGCTTAGTGGTTAAGTGCGTGCGCTCCGCTGCTGGCGGCCCGGGTTCAGATCCCGGGCGCGCACCGACGCACCGCTTCTCCGGCCATGCTGAGGCCGCGTCCCACATACAGCAACTGGAAGGATGTACAGCTATGACATACAACTATCTACTTTGGGGCTTTGGGGGAAAAAGAAATAAAACTATAAAAAAAAAAAAAAAAAAGTTTTAAAATCACTAACCTGATCTAAGCTTTTTGGCCTGTGCCTTTATAATCATCAAAAGCGGTGTATTTATCCTCTTAACTGCATTGTACATTGGGCAGAGCCAGGAATGAGAAGTAAATCTGCCAATATTAAGCTCCCATGCAGATGACATCATGGAATCAACGTTCTTTCCTCCTTTTTTTTTCCGTTTGTTTGAGCATGAATTTCATTTATGTTGTATGTGTTCTTATGCAGGAAATATTACCTCCTGGTTCTCATACGGGCTTTTCTGGATTACATTTGCCATTCATCGGTTTTACGTTCACAACGGAAAGGTATGTCTAGATTCATCATTCCCCAGGCGGAGCCTTCCCTTGAGGTCGATGAACAGTCTGAGGGTGTACTTCTGTGTGAGCCTCAGAGTGCTGGGAGGGCCATGCTCAAGGCAGCTGTAGATGGGTTTGTCCTTTAAAAATAAAAGTGCACACTTTTGATTGTTGCCTGGGATGATGTAGAGCAGGGTCAGCAGACTTTTTTTTCCATAAAGGGCCTGATAGTAAATAATTTAGGCTTTGTGGTCTCTTATATATTATTTTTTTTCTTTCTTAACAACGGTTTGAAAATGTAAAAACTGGGGCCAGCCCAGTGGCATAGTGGTTAGGTTCATGCACTCTGCTTTGGTGGCCTGGGGTTCATAGATTCAGATCCTGCGCATGGACCTACATACTGCTCATCAAGCCATGCTGTGACGGCGTCCCACATATAAAATAGAGGAAGATTGGCACTGGTGTTAGCTCAGGGACAATCTTCCTCAAGCAAAAAGAGGATGATTGGCAACAGATGTTAGCTCAGGGCCAATCCTCCTCACCAAAAAAAAAAAAAAAAAAAAAAATCGTAAAAACCATTCTTAGCTCATGGGAGGTACAAAAACACTTTGGGGTATTTGGCCACAGGCTGTAGTTTGCTGACTCCTGACCTGTAGGCCATCAGTGTTGGCAAGATTTGTTCTGATAGAACATCAGTGGCCACAGTCAGCAGCACCACTTTCCAGTCGTGCTCAGCTAAGAGCCGTCTTTCATTAGGGCAATCTGCTTGCTTTTGTAGGGATTTTAGCCACAGCTCTGTAGCTTCCTTTGGTGGGGCTGGAAGTACAGTCCCTGACATAATGAAAAATGTGAAGAGCCAAGAGCATAAGCCCCACATGTGACTCCAGCCCCCAAGAGTGTTTGTATCTGTTGGCCTCTGTCTCCAATGGACCTCTTGCGAAGCCATGTCGCCTAAGGTTTTCTGCCTTGCTTTTAAAAGGAAACTGGGCCAAGAGGAGAGGGGTTAGGAAGAAAGGAGGGTAAAATAAAACAAATGAAACTGCCACGGTGCCTGAAGGAAGGTCACAAAATTCAATTCATGGCATCTTCTAGCAGCTGGAACCTGAATTGATATAAATTCCTTCGGAGGGGTTTCCTTCTGCTCGAGCTTGTAGAAACTGTCTTTTGGTGTGAGGTGCCAGGGTTAAACAGCACTGAAACCAAAGTGATGGCTGATGCCATCTGGCCCCCAGAAAGCGTTTCAGGATGTGATGGACATATTGATTGATTAATCCCTTGTGCAGAGGCTTTTGACCTTTCTGGTGCATTCCAGCTCACTAGGTGCTTGTCGAATCTGTGGGTCCTAGGCCCACCTGCCGAGCCTCTGGTTTGGCAGGTTGGGCCCGGGAATCTCCTCCTGGAACACACCCTGGCAGTGCTGGCACAGCATTTCAGAAACACTGGCCAGCCCTTCTGTAAATGTGTGTGTGCTAGGTGCCTTTACTGCACTCAGTAGGACTCAGAAACGTTTCCCTGACATCATTGTCACGTTAAAAGCAAGAGGAACTAAATAACTTGTGAAACAGTCCAAGCATTAGCTTCTAAATGAGAGAACCATCTTTGGCTCTAATCTGTGTGGGTGGTGAGTGCTTACACACAGGGGTGTTGTTGAGTCAGCTGGTCATTGGTGAGTAGCTTAGCTATGCTGTTGAGAGTGCTGGAATTGAAGAGACCTTACAGGTTGTTTAGTCTGTGGGGAAGATGAGCCCCAGAGGGTTGAAGGAACTATCCCCAGTTAGTGGCAGAACCAGGAAGCCCTCGACGGCCCATGCTGTTCTGGCCGCACCATGCTGTCCAGTGAAGCCTCTCCCTGCAGCCCAGCAAGGCTCCGCAAGCCCAGCTCCTTGCACAAAATACCTTCTCTTTTTGTGTTTCCAGTAAGTAAGCGATGATTTAGAAATTACATTTCCCCTCCTTTGCAGAGGCGTTTTCTTTGACTAGCTCTGAGGGCATGTTCTTCTCAGTTGCCCTTTGTCATCCAATCATTGCAGTAAGGAAGACTCTTGTCTAATTTTGGCTCTATAAACAATAAAGTCTTTTTCCGGGTATTTTTGTTTGCCAATTTAAAAAGACTTATCTTTTACCCCAGGAAGTTTTTAAATGCTAATGAAATCACTATAAATTCTCAGTAGATCACAAAACCCTGTTGCTTTACTTGCAGCTGTTTTTCTGATCGAGGCTCTCTGAAGAGCATAATGCAGTCTAATACATTAACCAAAGACGAGGGTGTGCAGCGGGATTTAGAGAACAGCTTACAGGTTGAAGCTTATGAGAGGAGGATACGGAGACTGGAGCAAGAGAAACTGGAGCTGAGCAGAAAGCTGCAAGGTGAGTGGCAGAGTTACTCTGCAGCCTTGGACTGCTTGCTGTTGCCATGGGCCTGCACTCACGCCGTGTCTACCATCCCTAGAGTCCACCCAGACTGTACAGTCCCTCCATGGCTCGACTCGGGCCCTGGGCAGCTCAGCCCGAGATAAAGAAATCAAAAAGCTGAATGAAGAAATCGAACGTTTAAAGAATAAAATAGCAGGTAAGTGTTTTAAAGTATAGCTGCTTAGTCTCTATTCTTGGGCATTAATCTCTGCAAAGAAAATTTTCCTTTTCTTTTCATAAGGCAGAAAAGCAGAAAAAAAGCTAAAGCTTTAGCAAACCTATTTAGAGTTCTGGTATTTTGTCAGTTTATTTAAAATTACTTTTCCAACTGTGTTAGCTATAATAACATAATTTTATAGTTACAGCTAGAATCAATTCCTAATATTTTATCCATAAACTCAGAATACTTTGCATTTCTCTCTTAATTCTCCTCTTTGTAGCTCTGAGAGAGAATTGCCATAACTTCTTTCTTTCTAAAGCTTCCATCAGTGGCTATGTCTGCTTTTCAGAATTTTAGGTGCTTGGGTCTGTTGTCACCGTCTATCTTTTGTGTTCCTAGGTTATCAAAGCTTCCTGAAGACTCAAATCACTTTGTCTTAACCTTTAACCTGACACATGGGTTGGCTCTGTAGTTGACTGTCGTCTTGAAATGAAACCTGAGTCAGTCACCTTCTCTCCATTTTCTATCTGGAATCCTATCATCCTGATCCCGAAAAAGCCTTCATTGAGTTGATTATTCACTAAAATCGTATTGCACCCTTTGGTTACACTGTGCTAGCTTACACAGGTTAGCACAGACTGAGACAGACGGGTGCGTGCTGCCCGGGGGCTCACAGTCCCGGGAGAGAGCTATTAAACAGATCATCAGAATCAAGTCTAGTAGAGTCTGTTCACGTATGCAGGTGGCTGTGCATATGACACTTGTGTGTGTGTGAGAAAGTCAAAAAAGCCTCTCGATAAAGCTTTAGGAATTATTAAATAATTCACTTCAGTAAGTCAGATAACAAAGTTTCACATATAAGGGAACATGATTTATTTTCTCTTTTACTCAGATTCAAATAGGCTTGAGCGACAACTTGAGGACACTGTGACACTTCGCCAGGAGCACGAGGATTCCACGCATCGGCTGAAAGGCCTAGAAAAGCAGTACCGCATGGTGCGACAGGAGAAGGAGGACTTTCACAAGGTAGTCAGGGGCTTGAGTTTGTGTGAGGAAAGTTTAAATGATTTGCATAGTTGTGTACGGTTGAATGCCTGCAGAGGTTTGAGGACCTCCTCTGGGACTGTTGTCTGTGCTGCCTGCAGCTCAGAAGGAGCAAAACTGGCTCCAGGGTCCTGCTGTGCCCAGTTACTGCGCAGCCTCCCAAGGCAGCCAGCAGAGCTCGGGCTCCCGGTCACAGGTGCGGGGTGGGTGTGGCTGCGGCCAGCACACACTTTACAGCTATTGTCTTCAGTCTCCACCACAACACTGCTGAGTAAATGCTGTCTCCCCTGTGTGAGAGTAAGGACATGGTGACTCAGAAGACTCGAGGGGTTTCCCTACGTCTCAGCTTCCACAGTAAGTGACCCAGCTAGATTCACATGCTTGGATCTGGCGCCAGAGTCCTCGCCCTTGCCGTTCAACCAGGCTGCCCCAGCAGCAGCCTCTGTCCTACTTCTTTCAGAAGTGACCTCTTAGCTACGACAGGGCACTCAGAAGAGACTGTTTGTCAAAACTGGGGTTATTTCCCCCGTAACTCCTTTATAGATTTGATTTTCAGTAACATACATCAAACTGTGCTCAGACAACAGTATATTCATACCACAGTTAGGATCCTGTTTTCGAAAATACATTCATTTATACACTTAAGTCGTTGAACCTGTAGTTTGTGATCTGTTCTCTAAAATGAGTGGGATTTCAAAGCCAGGTTGATTGTTGAGTTCACTGTGGTATCATACCACTTGCAGTGTGTCATGTAGAAGTGCAGTGTAGAACGGAAAGCACCCCATTGCTCTGATGTAATCATAGAAACTCACCCTGAGCCAGACCCAGAGGGGCCTGGTGGAGAGGCTTGTCTCCCCATGGTGGGAGCTGCCATGCCAGCCTTCTCAGATCCTGTTACTGCCAGCCACAGCCCAACAGGTGCCACAGTGACTGAGCAACCTGATTGTTGAGAGATCGACTGCAGGGAGGTGAGGTGGTCAGTGCATTATGGTGAGGCTGGGTTGTCAGTGCACCCAGAGGGACACCCAGCATCCATTCCTCAGACTCGAGCTAAGGGTTACCTATCCGTTGATTATTTTTATACAATTTTTTACTTTGATTGAAATCTTAAGCATTTTCATATATAATGTGTTCTTTTCTGATCTTGCTGTGGTTAAGTAGCTAGAATGGTGACCGAATTCATTCTTCATCCACCTTTCTGATTGTGTGAATGACAGAGGAGAGGTCGAAATTTCTGAGCTAAACTTTCCTCTGTGAGCAAGCTGCTCCATGTGGTGGGAGGGTCTTTCCTGGAGTGGCATTGGTGCTCAGCACCTGAGCTCAGGTAGACTTCTTCCAGGCTGCATATGTGGCTGTGCTGTGGCATAGCAAAGGGCCTTTTCCAAGAAGGTGAATTCTTGGATCTGTGGCTGTGGTCTGTAACCAGCATTTGCTATCACTTTTAACTCCTTAATACAGTGGAAGACTGAGCTTCCAGCTTTCCAGATCTTTGTTGCGCAAACGTGAAACATCTGAATTTTTTTTGTTCAGCAATTGGTTGAAGCTTCAGAGCGACTGAAATCCCAGGCCAGAGAACTCAAAGATGCCCACCAGCAGCGCAAGCTGGCCCTGCAGGAGTTCTCGGAGCTCAACGAGCGCATGGCAGAACTCCGCTCCCAGAAGCAGAAGGTTTCCCGGCAACTACGGGACAAAGAGGAGGAAATGGAGGTGGCCATGCAGAAAATCGACTCCATGCGGCAGGAGATCCGCAAATCTGAGAAGTTCAGGAAAGAGGTAGCTTTTTAGATGTTTCAGGGATTGTATTGATTGGACTTGTATGATCTTAATAAAACATGTCTGAAAACTTGGGTTGTATTACATAAATTATCTTAAAATGGATCTTAAATTTTATGTGAAGCCAAATAAGTTGATCTGCCAAGCATTTATTTTGTAGTTCTCAGCCCTCAATATCTATTTGTGAAATTATTAAAAGAGGTTCCTGTAGTACTGGTTTTTTAAAGTTCCCTTTTAAAGCAAACAGAGGGTATTCTCGCACAACAAATATGACAAAAATACTTGGTGATGTGATGCAGTGTGGCTGGAGTAACATGAGCACCTGTGGCACAGAGGCGGCTGGAAGGGGAGGAGGACACCTCCCTGCCGCGCAGGCCTCCCGCCAGCTGCCCCGGATCAGCATCTCTGAGACCCCGAGTTCAGGACTCCTCTACATGGTTAGACGTTACTGAGGCCCCCAAGGAGCTCTTGTTTGTGTGGGTTATAGTTCTTCGTGTTTACCATGTTAGAAATTAAAACTGATAATTTTTTTCAATATAATAGCAAACCCATTACATGTTAACGTAAATAACATTTTTTATGAAAAGTAAGTATTTTTAAAAAATTAGTGAGAAGAGTGGCATTTTTAACATTTTTGTACTTTTATATGTGACTTAATGGAAAACACCCAGTTCTCATATCTGTTTCTGCATTCAGCCTGTTGTGATGCGCTGTTTCAGATAAAGTATATGAACAAAACCCAGCTCCTACAGATAGGTGGTTAGAAAAGGAAGGCCCTTGCAGACCCGCTAAAGGGTCTCAGGACTCCACTCTGAGAAATGCTGCCCCAGGTATTCCGAATGTTCTACTATTAACAGGCGACATATTTTAAGCAACCCTCAATTTAAAATTCTTTAAAAATTTACTTGGTAAACTATGCAGAAGGCCCAGAAGTACATGCCCTTGCTCCTTTCACATTCAAGGCTCTTTGTCATTTGGCCTCAAAATGCCTATTTGTTTTTTTCTTAGACATTTTATTGTGCAACCCAAATACATTCGTAGTTGTAGCCACCTATAACTCAAGTTAGTGAAACCTCTGATTAAGCATTTCCATTCCACCTCTGGATGAAATGATAGATTTTTGGGATTGGCTTTAAAAGAATTTGAGAGTAGGCCTATAGATGGAGCAAGCTGGGCCCGAGTTGCTAACTATTGACGCTGGATCATGGTACATTGGCTTTGTTATACCTCTCTCTACTTTTGTGTATGTGTGAAATTTTCGATTTAAAAAACGAATCCGGGGGGCCGGCCTGGTGGCGCAAGCGGTTAAGTGCATGCACGCTCAGCTGCGGCGGCCCGGGGTTCGTCGGTTCGGATCCCAGGCACGCACCGACGCACCACTTGTCAAGCCATGCTGTGGCGGTGTCCCATATAAAGTAGAGGAAGATGGGCGTGGATGTTAGCCCAGGGCCAGTCTTCCTCAGCAAAAAGAGGAGGATTGGCAGATGTTAGCTCAGGGCTGATCTTCCTCACAAAAAAAAAAAAAAAGAAGAATCCATGTTCTGTACGTATCAGAAGTACTTGTTTTCATAAACCAGTATCCTTTCTTGAAATTTAATCTCAAATTATCAATTTAAATTAGATTTTAAACTTGTTTTATTACTAATCAGCCCTTCCAGTTAAGCCCTGAAGTGTATTTCTCAGCCTTTAACTTGTGATAAAATCTGATGAAGAGTGAAGAATTACAAAGATCTTTCAAGATTTTATCTGCTTAGAGTTCCTTTTGGGTAAAGATCTAGCTGACAGTGGGGCTTGCTTTTTGTTAATAAAAGGCAATATTCTCCCTTTTGTAGCTGGAAGCTCAGCTCGAGGATGCTGTTGCTGAGGCCTCCAAGGAGCGCAAACTTCGCGAGCACAGCGAGAACTTCTCCAAGCAAATAGAAAGTGAGCTTGAGGCCCTCAAGGTAGTGCCTGGTTAGGGTCTTTATTCTTACTAAGGGAACAGACTATTCTCCTTACTAACTCTGTTGTGGCGGGAGTCGTCTTGAATCGTGTGCTGCTCAGGGCGAACTTCACACAAGGCAGGTCCAGTCGAGAAACGGACGGGGAGGGAGTAGAACATGAACTTGCCTTCGTGATAGCTTTTCACTTTAAAAACCAAGTTAATTCATTTCTTTCCTTGTATAAAAGCTTCATGCAGTTTGTAGTAAGCCCTAGTAGACTAACACCTAATATCTCTGTATCCCGGGTTTCTAGATTCTGTAGAGTCCATTTCTGGAAAAGTTCCTTAAAGCCCATTTCTTGCTGCTGACGGTGGAATAGACAGGCTGGTCGTCTGTGGCCAGAGGGTGGCAAGGCTACACCAGAGGGAGCAGAACAGCGAGGGGAGGGGGCTGTAGTGGCAAGAACAAGGGCGAAGAGGCAGTCTGGCTCCTTGTTAGCCTAGTGCGACTTCAGATAAGGGGCTCCACTTTCTGAGCCTCGGTTTTCTTATCTGTGAAATGGAGGCAATGGGTCTCCTCTCTTCCTCACACCTGGCCCATCAGTGAATCCTCACCTTTCCCCCAGCATCTGCCCCCGAGGGGTCTGTTTCTCTCCATCCTCTTCATCCTCCGCCGGCAACACTGTTTGCCTGGACTCCTGCTCCCCTGTGACTTAGTCTCCTGTCCCTCTCTTCGCCCTCTACAGTCTGCTCTCCACACAGAGGCCAGAGCGAGCTTGTTAAACTGAAATCACAGCTCATCACGTCCTTAGTTAGTGCCCTCCCGCAGCTCTCGAATAACCCGAACTCCTTACACGACAGCGCCTCTGCTGGCACTTCCCCGACTTGCCTCACTCCAGCCACCCTGACATCCTCCTGTCCTTCAAGTTCAGCCCCTTCTCACCTCAATGCCTTTGCCCTTCCTGTTCCTCCCATGCTGAAGCTCTAACCTGACATCTCCCTTCATTTGTCACGGCCTCATGCTGCCTCCCTAACCATCCCCTTTTTGTCTTTCCCCTTTCTTTATCACGTTACCTGTGTTATTGTCTTGTCGCTCATTTGCTGGTTTGTTATCAGTCTTTCCCCCTCTGCCCCGTGAGAGCAGAGACCTCAGTGTAACTCTATTACCAAAAGGGTGCCTGACAAATAGTCAGCCCTCAAGAGAATACTGTTGTATTGAGTGAATGAACTACACAAGGAGACCTTGAAAACCATTCAGGTCAGAGCATGAGGCAGAGCCTCTGGGGTCCCAAGCAGATCTGGGCACATCCCTTTTACAAGGCAGGTACTCTCACTCCCTAAAATCTGCCTTGCAGTTGTTAGAAGGACCACATGACTGAGGCCAGCTATGTCACTTAGTACAGTGTCTCTTGTTGGGAGGGCAAAGGAAGCAGCGTTTACGAGTATCTGCATGTGGTAGGGATGACACATGACACTCGAGGGAGGGTACAGAGATTTGTCATTTGTTTTAACCTTTATCTTCAGATGAAGCAAGGAGGCCGGGGCCCAGGTGCCACCTTGGAACATCAGCAGGAGATTTCCAAAATAAAATCTGAGCTTGAGAAGAAAGTCTTGTTTTATGAAGAGGAATTGGTCAGACGTGAGGCCTCCCATGTGCTGGAAGTGAAAAATGTGAAAAAGGAGGTGCACGATTCTGAAAGCCACCAGCTGGCCCTGCAGAAAGAAATCTTAATGTTAAAAGATAAATTAGAGAAGTCAAAACGAGAACGGTAAGTGTCACGAGCCCTCACTGCAGGACCCTTGCCAAGTTAGGACCTTCTCAAACGTCTATCTCCTTTACCCTCTCAGGCGTAATGAAATGGAGGAGGCAGTGGGTACCATAAAAGATAAATACGAACGAGAAAGGACAATGCTGTTCGAGGAAAACAAGAAATTAACTGCTGAAAATGAAAGGGTAATTTAAAATATCTGAGTTATCACTTTGGGAAAGCTGTAATTTTTTTCATTCTTGAGTCTTGGAAGTTTAGTATTTTAAATAGTTTAATCTTTAAATGAAGTAATATGTTTGGTCTTTTAAGTTGGATGTTTTCATTTGGTTAAAAGGTGCTAATTAGGGCCGGCTCTGTGGCTTAGCGGTTAAGTGCGCGCGCTCTGATGCTGGCGGCCTGGGTTCGGATCCCGGGCGCGCCCCAAGGCACCACTTCTCCGTCCAGCGCGAGGCCGAGTCCCACGTACAGCAACTGGAAGGATGTGAACCTATGACATACAACTATCTGCTGGGGCTTTGGGGGGAAAAAAATGAATAAATAAAATCTTTAAAAAAAAAAAAAAAAAAAAAAAAAAAAAAAAAAAAAAAAAAAAAAAAAAGGTGCTAATTACCTGAAACCGCTAGCTCTTACCGCTTTTATGTTCAGATTTGTATTGAAATGTGGCTTAAGTTAGATACAATCAAAAAGTTCATATCAGAAACTTAGTTTGGAAAAATCTCATAACGATTAAAGAAAACTTTCAAAATCTTCAAAAGAACTTGTAGTTTTAGTAACACTAACGTCATATTTAAAGGATGCCAAATAATGAGTTGTGTGGTACAATTGTTTAATTTCAGCTTTGTTCCTTTGTGGATAAACTCACAGCTCAAAATAGACAACTGGAGGATGAACTGCAGGATCTGGCAGCCAAGAAGGAGTCAGTTGCCCACTGGGAAGCTCAGATTGCAGAAATCATTCAGTGGTATGTGCACGGCAAGCCGGTGCACCTCTGTGAGACTGCCCCATGCTGTCTTCTCCAGCTCCCACCTCTGCCTATCTAATTCTGTCTTTTACACCTCAAGCTGTTTCTCTAAGGTCTAGGTGCAGATCTCACCACTGTTTCCCCTGAATCGCTAATGTCTGGGGGCAGCAGTTGTGTCCACTGATCATCACATTGGGCTAAAGGTGGAGAAACCACTCCACCAAGTCACTGAAGGTGTAGGTCAGGCTGTGGATGTCCCCGAGTGTTCTGGGTCAAGTGGAGGCAGAGCTTCCGAAAAGCACATGGCAAAGGACCGGGAGACCAAGAGAGTGGGCTGGGACTGGCCCTCTGCTAATAAAGGCGTTTGTTTTTCACGGGTGACTGGTGTTTTGGCTGATGAGCAGGAAACAATCGTCGTCTTTGGCTTCTCTCACTCACAGAATGTCTGCTCCCTCCTCTAGGGTCAGCGACGAGAAAGATGCCCGGGGTTACCTTCAAGCTCTTGCTTCTAAGATGACTGAAGAGCTCGAGGCTTTGAGGAGTTCCAGTCTGGGATCAAGAACACTGGTAGGTTTTGTTCTAAAACCTGGATTTTTGTTCCTGTGGAATTCATTAATGGCTTTATTGTAATATGAATGCAGCAGGTAAGTATCATGCAGGTAATTCCAGTGATGGGACTTTTTTACGACCAGTAAAAGTTAACCCAGTTTGAGGAGCTTCAACATTTTGTCAGCTATTGGGAGAGCACAGATTCTTTTGATAACATTCATTCATTTAGCAAATAATTATTGAGTACCAGGCTCTGCAGAGAAATCTTAAATTAGTAGGACTAGATTCTACCCTCAAGGAGATTTGTTTTATTAGTATGATCATCCTTCCATCCATCTAGTCAGTGGTCTGTTTTTGAGCACACAGAGTGTGGCGACCTCGGGGCTGAGTGGAGCATCATCTCCACCGAGTGCTTGTTCCTGGGCGGCAGCCACACACGCGCTTCCTGTCTCCTCCATTGTTCTGGGTCCAGTTTACCATTTAAAAAAAATATATATGTAAGCTATTTTGTGATAATATATAGAAGTAAGAATAAAGTCATAGTGAAACAACTTTATTAGAATTAAAGCTAGAACTTAAACTTAGTAAAGGCAAATTTTTATTCCATGTTTTCCTGGTTTGAAGGTATATGTACCCAAAAGGGGCAGCACCTTCAGATGTAGTTAACTGCTCACCCCCTGTTACACAACAACCCGGAGCACATCCGTCTTGTAAATACTGACTCTTGTAAATACTGATGCTGGCTTCAGATCCGTCTTCCCTAGGTTCGAGTTTATCGTTACCTCTCCTTCTACTTGCGCCTCCATCATCAAAACAATACTTTTGAAAACATTGCTCATAATTTTATTGAAGAAAAGAATACAGCCATGTTCTTTGCTCCATAATTAGAAAACATTTCATTTTTAGATTTTAGATTTATAAACAGCAATTAAAATGATCCATACAATTATTTTCTTCCAATCATGTTTACATATACACTGACACTTACGAACCGCATTAAGTGAATTTTGTGCACCAAACCTCATAAAAGATGAGAGAATACTGTATGGGTTCTTTTAGCAAAATGGGATGGTTGACATTCTTGTTGCAAGATACTGTGTGAACAGTTCTTCCTGTTGAAGGACTAACTGGATGAGAATATATTTCCTTTTTGTCCTTAGAAGCGTATTGTTCATTTATTGATTCTTGAGAAAATTCATCTAGGACGTGGTCATCTGAAGACTCATTGAGATTTCTCTCATTTGATCAATGTCACCATCATCATTAGATAAAGCACTGCTCTCTGTCCCCCACACCCACTTCTGATTGTCTGTGAATTGTGAAACAGCTCCCTCAGTCAGTTTTCTTCTCTTTACTGTTACGGATGAAAACGAAAAATTCTCAGTTGTCTTCAATGAAAGCTTAAAACAAAAGTCTGGCTAGATATCATCTCCATATTTCTTTTATACTTCTTGAAAGTTGATGAAATACACTGGGCAACTCAGTAAGAAAACGGAATAATGCTGTAATCAAGCTGGTTTATTTTGCCAGCACTTCCTCCTTCTAGGTCATTCCATCATTCTTCCTTTTTCTTATTATTTTAGTTAGGTAGGAATAGTTGATGAGTAATGACATAATTCCTAGGATGATGAAATAGCAAAATGTTTCAAGATATAGGAAAAATAAGGTAACTATGATCCCATAATATATCTAAAGTTTGTAAAAGAGTCTAGTGGAACCATATAGAAATTACGCTATAGGGTCAGTTTTATTCTTTTAAAAAATAATAAAAGTAAATTTTAGTCTTTAGAAGACCTCTGAAAAAGAATAAAAGTCATAAAATATCAAAACTAAAATTGAGTGGCTGGCACGGTGGCGTAGCGGTTAAGTACGTGCGCTCCACTTTGGTGGCCCAGGGTTCGCAGATTCAGATCCGGGGCACGGACCAATGCACTGCTTGTCAAGCCATGCTGTGGTGGCGTCCCATATAAAGTAGAGGAAGATGGGCACAGATGTTAGCCCAGGGCCGGTCTTCCTCAGCAAAAAAAAAAAGAGGAGGATTGGCAACAGATGTTAGCTCAGGGCTAATCTTCCTCACAAGAAAAAAAAACTAAAATTGAGTCTGATAGACTTTGATAATATCTGAGAGTTATTTAAATATGATAATAAAAGTTTAAGATTAGAAAAAGATGAATTCTTTGTTAGCATTAATTTTGTTAAACAAATAACTAGCTTAAAAACATATTTTTATTATTTGAATTAATGTCTGCAGGATCCGCTTTGGAAGGTTCGCCGTAGTCAGAAGCTGGACATGTCTGCACGGCTAGAATTGCAGTCTGCTCTTGAGGCGGAGATCCGGGCCAAGCAGCTTGTTCAGGAGGAGCTGAGGAAAGTGAAAGACACGAATCTCTCCTTTGAAAGGTACCTGGAAGCGTGGTCTAACTCGTGGTAGGAGCTGAGGGCCTGTGTGACCTTGGGCATGCCCCTGAGCTGTTGCATGAGTTGACTGGAAAGAGCTTTCAGCTGTGTAACGTTTCTGGCACTTAGTAGGTGCTCTGTTAGAATTGGTTTGGTGAATGTGCAGAGGCACTTCACCTACTGGGGTGTTATCCTTAGTGTTTTCGAGAAATAATGACAGTGGTATGTGTCCATGGTTTGGAAGTGTCGGTGTCCCTTTCCGTGTGTGAAAGTGGAGTGCTTGTCTTCTCCCGTGCTGGGAGACAAGACTCACAGCCACACATCCAACGGGCACCTCTCTGGCCTTCCTCTTCACCTCGATGCTGTTCAGTTCATCAACTTAGAATTTTTCATTTTAAGCTAAAACTAATATTTTAAAATATAGGTTGAAGATGGTATGCCTGTTTGAAACTTTTTTTCCAACTTCAAGCAGTTATAAGAACACCGTTTTTACAGAACAATTAATTCAGCAAATGTTTGATGAGAGTCCACCATTTGCAGATACTGCTTACATGCTCAGGATACAACCAAGAACTGCCGTTTCAGAAGAACCAAGCCTCCCTGCCTGTAGTGGCAGCTGTTGATTTGGAAGGAAAGGGGAAGCTCTGATGCTTCTTCCTAAGAGGGCAGGGAGCTAGAAGTGACAGTTCACTAACAGGATTGCCGAGTCCCAAATCCTGTTAGTTTTGGGCTAAAAAAACTAATAATAGTAACAACTACCATTTAATATACTTCCTCTGTATCGGGAACTGCCGTGAGAACTTTAGTCTATTAAACCACATGAGCCTGGCAACAGCCCTAGGAGGCAAGTGCTCTTACTGTCCCCATTTTATAGAAGATGAGACCGAGGTGCAGAGAGGTGAAGTAATTCACCCAGTGTCACCCACTAAGTAAGTGCAGAGCCAGGATTTGATGGCAGATGCCCCCACTCTTGGGGCTGGACAGTCCTGCTAGCCTCCTGGCCAGACGTTAACTGTAGCTGCCTGACTTTGCTCTGTCCCCTCCACAAAAGCGTAGGAACCACAAGACCCCATTGGTGTCCCACTAGGGGACTGCCATCACAAGACCCACTAGGCGGCTGTGGCAGTGCTCTTCGGTGCAGCCTACCATCTTGGCAGTTATGGGAAAGACATTTACGGGTCTGATGGCTGAGTAATCTGGGCCACGTGTCCTCAGAGGACGGAGGACTCATCTAGAAAGAGATAAGGAATGTCAAAAACTCCAGTAGGGCTCCATGAGATACACTTTCATAAACCATGATTTTTAAAATCCATGTTTGTTTATAATTCCGAAATATTTGTACTCTCCATAAGATGCTGAGTCAAGAGGCTGACCCATGCCAGGAGTGGATTCATGTGTCTGTCCAGCTGTGTTGGTTGAGGACCTGCCCTGTTTCGGCAATTACCCAGGCACTGGAGATAAACCCTTGCCCTCACGTTTTGACACTGTATGAAATAGGATGTGGGTGACCTGTTCTCTGTGCACTTAAAGCCATTTATTTTTTATTTCAGTAAACTAAAGGACTCTGAAGCCAAAAATAGAGAACTATTAGAAGAAATGGAAATTTTAAAGAAGAAAATGGAAGAAAAATTTAGAGCAGATACTGGTAAAATCATAAGCTTCTGAATTATTTAAATATAAGCCTTTTTTTAATGAAGTGGTTTTATTTTAGAATTAATTTCTTTTAGGATTAATAGTTTTTAGTTATATGAAGAAAGCACTTACAGAATTCCAAAGCCAAAATTCTGAAATAGGGTACATTTAAAGATCCCTTACCCAAAGGTAACCACAGTTTTTGGTTTATCCTTTGATTGTTTAACATCATCTTGAAAATATAAAGCAAATACATATATATGTATAGTTAGACATTTGTGTCCCCCTGATTACACAGAGGGCTGCTCTGTGCTCCATTCTGCATGTGAGCGAGGCCGCAGCATGCGAGATGGTCCCGGGTCCCTTCACGGTCGCACAGCGCACTGCTGTGGGCTGTACCAGCCCCGGTGGATGCGTGTAGGACCGTTCCCGTCTCTTGCTATCATAGAAAGTGCTGCAGTGAGTAGCGATGTGCATAAAACATCTCATGTATTTCAGTGTGTTTTGGGAATAGATTTCCAGAAGTAGGACTGCTGGTCAAAGGGTAAGCGTGGACAAACTGACACTAGATATTGCCACGTTCTGCTCCAGAGACGGTACATTTGTGTCCCCACCAGAGTGCACAAGGGTTCCTCCCCACAGCCTCACCCACGAAGTATGATTTCGCATTCTGAATAGGGGAGAAGTAGCATTGCAATACAGACCTCATTTGCATTTTTCTTATTATGAACAAGATTGAGCATCTTTTCATAGATTTAAGGGCTATTTGTAGTTCTTATTCTATGATTTATATATTTGTATCTTTTGCCCATTTTTAAAAATTTGGGTTGTTAAATCTTTTTCTTACTGTTTAGAATCTTTTTCTGTCTTGAGGACTAGAGCCTTTGATTTTGATGGAAGTTGCAAATATTTTTCCTAGTTTGTCTTTGTCTTTTTGCTTGATTTTTTTTTTTTGCCAAGCATAAGGGTTTTTTTTTTAGTTTGTGTGTGTCAAGTTTATCGGTCTTTTCCCTTTTTTGAGTCATAAGGAAATATTCCCAAATCCCCAGTTGTTCGAGTAATTTACCCATGCTTTCTTCTAATACTTGTATGGTTTCATTTTTAAAATTTAGATTACTGATCCATTTGGAATTTTCTCTGATGTGCAGTTTAAGGAATGGATCCAGTTTGATCTTTTCCCTATGGCTAGTCAGTTGTCCAATACCAGTTATGAAAAACTTCCCACTGATTTCACATGTGACTTTAATGTACATGAGATTGCCGTGGGCACTGGGTCTCTTTCTGGATTTTCTACCCTGATTTTGTTGATGAGCAGGAACCACTTGATTCTAATTAGAGAAGCTGCACTGAATCTGTTCTGTATTTGGTAGATCTCCCCCCACCCCTCATTTTTAGAAATTTCCAAGGTAGTCTTCCCTGCTTACTTTCCCACGTGAGCTCTTTAATTCGCTTGTCCAGCTCTAGGGAAAAGTCTAATGATATTTTTACTGGAATCACATCAAATTTATCAGTTAACTTAGGGAGAATTGACATCTTGGTGACATTGAGTCTTCCCCTCTGAGCATAAGATACACAGCCTTTTAAGTTTTTTACCTTGACTACTAGTCTTTGTTTCTTTCTTACAGGACTCAAACTTCCAGATTTTCAGGATTCTATTTTTGAGTATTTCAACACTGCACCTCTTGCACATGATCTGACATTTAGAGTAAGTAATTATTTTTAAAAAGTGACATTTATGATGCTAGAAATAGTATAATATGATTTAACTACCTGTGGGGCCACAGACATGCCAGTAAATTAACATCTGACATTTTATCTCAGTCACACTGACCCTGTAATCGACCTGGGATATTAAGTGTTTAAGGTTAGACACATTTCAGATATTTGAAATGTTTCTAGAGAAGCTTCCTCAAATTAGGTGGAAGTTGATTTAAAAAGTGCTCAGCATCTTCAGGGAAGAAATCTACACTGGCATCTGCCTGTATAGTGAGTATTTCAGGCATTTTTTTAATACAAATTCTCACCCTGCAGCAAATGAAGAATAAGCCAATCATGTTGCCATTTCAGTGGCTTCTTTATGGTTGTACAGTCTCAGCAGTGGGTGGAGAAAAGTGGTTTAAAAGAACAGTCCAGCCCCAGGCCCCTTGTTGTGGTCCTGATCCTGGTCCTGGTGTTGGAGTTCAGTGCGGCTCCCTCTGTTCAGGGTGACCCACCCAGGAGTAACAGAGCCGCCTCTCCACTGCGTGGAGAAAAGCAGCTGTTGGATGCTGAGCGAGTCCCACTTCCTCCCTTTGCACACTGCGAGTTCTTAATGGCACTCCATGGAGGCATTACAGTCGTTCTCTCTTTTTCCAAAACGATAGAGATGGACCCTTACTAGCAAGCCGGAAAATAAAAATAATGAAAGCAAATCTCATTAATGGGACTTCTGATGAGGTGTTTGTCGTTGTTTTTGTTGGCTTTCCAACTTTTTATTTAGAAAATTCTAAACCTGCCAGCAGGTTGAAAGAATGGTACGATGAACATATATATGTATCTCTCACCTGGCATTTTGCTACCTTTGCTTTCTCTCTCTGTATTCACGCAGACTTTTCTTCCCCTGACCTCTTTGAAAGTAAGTTGCAGGCATCAATGACCCCAAATACTTCAGAGTTTGTTTCCTGAGATCAAGGACATTCTCCTGCATAACCACAATGTCATTATTATCACACAAGATGTTTTGCACTGATGCCGGAGGACAGAACACAGCTGGCTTTTTCTCCCCAGTTCAGGATCCAGCCAGAACTCATGACCCACATTTAATTGTCATGTTTCTTTGGTCTTCTTTAATCTGGAGCAGTGCCCTCCATCCCCCCTACCCCTTTTTTTAATAACGTTGATATTTTTGTAATGTCCAGACCAGTTTTCTTATAAAATGTCCTGCTCTCTGGATTTGTCTGATGTGTCCTTTTGATTAGATATGGGTTGAACATCTCAGCATGAATTCTGCCCAGGAGGTGTTGTGTACTTCCCACGCACGGAGGATTGGTGATGCTCAGTTTCATCATTAGGTTGAGGTGGTGTCTGCCAGACGCCACCCCTGGAAAGCAGCAGCTTTTCTATACAATTACTGGGCAGAGTAGCGATCTCTATGGCAGGTGGTTTCCAGCTTGGACCTTCCATCATGCGAACGGCCAGGAGAGCAGTTTGAACATGGAGTAGAGGTTGTAATCTCTGTACCTCATCCTGTGTAGCCAGCGGTTCTCCCATTTTAATGTTTAAATGTAGTCCCTCTTTAATAGCTCTGTGATTTAAGTAGGAAGGACATTTACTGATGGAAAGAAAAAAATCCTTGGTCAGAGTCTGAGTCTGTTAGGAGATGTTTCCAGACCTGAGAATCATATAGAAGCTTCTATTCTGCTTTCCCCATATTAAGCATGTTATTTAATACTAGAAATGGTTTGCCACAACGATTGAATCAGTATATTTTCATGCAAGTTTTTATTGGGTGGGAAATGATTGTTTTTGTTCCTCCTGTCTGTCACAACCAAGGACTCTGTCTCCTCCTCCACATCCTCCCTGCTAGCCTCTTGGGAAGAAGTAAGTCACTGCCGATGCTGGCTTCCCGCACCCCGCACTCTTGTCAGTGGAGCAGCACTCTAAATGTGGACGTCTCCTCTTTTTTAATTTGCATCCTTTTGATTAATTAACCAACTAAAGGAAACTAGTGGGTGTGTTACATGGCTAAAATTAAATGACTTAACATTCTTTTGCTCTTCATTTACCTAAGATGGAACTCTAACTCATTTAACATACCTTATTTGTGGGAGAAATTTGCTTTCAAATGTAGCTTTGATAATTAGCTAATTTATCTAGCCTTTCCCTTGTGAATTTGTTTACAAATTCAAATAGTGCAGTACATAGTTGTGCATGTGTTTTTTGTGTATGCGCTGCCTTCCCATCTGAATTTTACTCCTTAGGCAGCAGCCTAACTAATTGCAACTGTTATAAAATGGTTCTCTGGGGCCGGCCCTGTGGCTTAGCGGTTAAGTGCACACGCTCCACTACTGGCAGCCCAGGTTCGGATCCCAGGCGCGCCCCAACACACCACTTCTCCAGCCATGCTGAGGCCACGTCCCACATACAGCAACTAGAACGATGTGCAGCTATGACATACAACTATCTACTGGGGCTTTGGGGAAAAAAAAGGAGGAGGATTGGCAATAGATGTTAGCTCAGAGCCGGTCTTCCTCAGCAAAAAGAGGAGGATTAGCATGGATGTTAGCTCAGGGCTGATCTTCCTCACAAAAAAAAAAAAGATGTTTCTCTGATTTGGTTCATTGGAATTTCGATGTGGACCACAAGATACAGCTGTAAACTGCTCTTGTAGATACCTACCCAGCTACTCTCTGTCACAGTGTACTGTTTCCTGTGCTAATGCTTACTAAGCGTACATAAATGGTATATTCGTGTCTGTGTAAATAGTAATAGTCTTTGCTGAGGAAATATTTGTTTCAGGAACACTCGTTAAAATGAGGTGTTTTTTTTTTTTTTTTTTTTTGGTGAGGAAGATCAGCCCTGTGCTAACATCTGCCAATCCTCCTCTTTTTTTGCTAAGGGAGACTGGCCCTGGGCTAACATCCGTGCCCATCTTCCTCCACTTTATAAGGGACGCGGCCACAGCATGGGTTGCCAAGCGGTGCGTCGGTGCGCGCCCGGGATCCGAACCTGCAAACCCCGGGCTGCCGCAACGGAGCTTGCACACTTAACCGCTTGCACCACCAGGCCGGCCCCATGAGGTCATTTTTAAATGGATTTAGATTGCAGCTTTAGCTTTAAATTAGCTTCGGAACTTTAGCTTCAATTACAGATTGTGAAATTAATTTGGGAATCTTGAGTTAGAACAAAATGTTGCTTCCCTGTGTCATAGAACTTTCAGAGGAATTCTTACTTCTGGTCATAGGCCCACAAACCTCTGTCGATGTTAGAATTTCTTCTTGATCCCTGAATTTGGCTACTTTATCTTAAGGCTACTGGATATAGATAAAATCGCTTCTGAATCCCATTAAATGGCCAGGATTGGGAGAGCAGGTGGTGAGGGCTGCAGTGGGAGGGTACGGCCGGATGGCCTCTGGCCTTTGGAGATAACTGTGACTTGTCAGACTCTGCCTACCCCTGCGGTCACCACTCCAGCCTTAGAATGCTAAGGGGCGGTGGTCAAGGGAAGGCAGGACAGCTGTGAGTGAAGTGGGAGTCCATGACAGAACATCATAGGAGTAAGAACCTGTGCTGGGACCTCAGGTCCCCAATGGAGTGCACTTTTTAAATAAGGAATGTGTATTTAGAGTCTAAATGTTCTTCTATTCCCACTATTTCTTTACCTTTGTTTTCACAGACCAGCTCAGCTAGTGAGCAAGAAACACAAGCTCCAAAGCCAGAAGTGTCCTCATCGATTTCTGTGGCCGCAAGCACAGAGCAGCAGGAAGTAAGACAGTATTGCCCTGTTGACACTCCACGGGCCCTTGGGTCTGCCCCCCACCCCCATGTCCATGTGCCTCTTGCCACCCTTGATGAACAGAAGCTGCTCTGATGCTGAGGCAGCTCACCCAATCCTTCCTCACAGCTTGTGACGAGAACTTCTTCCCAGGCTGGAGCCCAACTTGTATTTCAGAATTACTGTCAGTGCATCAGCTAGATGCTGATTGCTCTGACAGATGTCTCAACAATGTAGTAAGTTAAAAATGCAGAATTGCTCGTTATAGTGAACGCTAGAGAGGAAGGCATCCCAAGCAGGGTCTGACATGTAAGACCAGTGCTGAGCTAGGACGGTGCTCACCTGTCCCTGCTTGCCTCCTAGGACATGGCTCGGGCCCCACAGAGGCCGCCCGCCGTGCCGCTGCCCACCACGCAGGCCCTTACTCTGGCTGGACCAAAGGTAGGGGCTTACTTTTCACCCATGGTGCCTTCCCAGTTTTAGAAGATAACTTTTGTGTAAATAAGATGGACTTATTATTTTTGTATACACAGTAAGGCCCTTATGTCCTATTAATGATTGTTCTGAACAGTGTGTGATCCAGGAAGTGTTGAGACCCTGTATTCTTGACTAAACCACTGATATATGAACACATTTTAATCGGAAAATTTCTGAGTTCAGTCGCCACAGTCCCCTTTCTTCATTCCCAGACCATATTCCCTTCTCCACTGGTAACCACTCTGTGTTATGTATCTATCAAGTTTTTTCTCCAAATTTATTTCCATTTTTCTGTCAGCCCTTAGAACCTTAAAGAACCCTGTGCTTTGTGGGAGGGAATTTCCCCCCAACATAAATGAAATTACACTGAATGTGCAGCTGTGTAACTTATTTTTTTCATAAATGTGTCTTGGAGAGGCATGCACACTGATACATCCAGGTTCAACACAGATCGTACAGTTTCAGTTGTGACAGGCTCTAGGGTTTTAAGCTTCACAGGCATTTGGCCTTATGTACTTAGATGCTTTTTTTTCCTTTAAGGTAGACGTGGCCTCTTTTAAGGTTTCAACCACAGACAGGGATGCTAACTACAAATGAAAAATTTGACTTTATTTGAGGCTATAGTCATGTGTAGCTTAACAACAGATACTTTCTGGGAAATGCATCATTAGGCAATTTTGTCGTTGTGCGACAATACACGTAGGCTGTAGGGCACTAATCTTATTGGACCACTGTCATATATGTGTTCCGTCGTTGACTGAAACGTCATTATGCAGCATGACTGTAATGAATGATTTGGCTTTTGGACTTCAATTCTTGTAGAGTCAGGGATCGGATAGACTGCTCTCTGGATTTTGTGTTGGTCACTCACTTCTTACGAATGGTTCCACCGTCTGTATGTGCCCCTGAGTAATAAATCCTTTCATTTTGCTTGTTTGAGCTTTATGGACACACTGACCTACGTAGTCTACAGCTTGCTTCTCCATTCAGCCTTACGTTTCGTTCCATTGTCAGTTGCATCCTAATGTATTCATTCTCCTGACAAGAGACAGCCTGGCTTTCCAGGCTCTTGCTCTCAGGAACACGGCTGCTGTTCATTTCTTGCATGTCTCTTGATCTCACATGCAAGGACTGCTCTGGATGGCAGCCCACCCCAAAACGTGGCCCCGGGCCGGCCCCCAAGAGCCCCTAGCAGGCGAGGTGCTTGCGCCAGGATGAGTGTTGGCTGTGCTGCCACGTGCCCTGGCTCAGCCAGCCTTGCTCTTTTTGGTAACAAGACTTCTCACTGAAGGAAGCGTGTGTTGGCTTATTTTCTGGCTCATGCTCCTTAGGTGGGTGTCAATCACTGCTCTTTGGTTAGCTCTGCTAGGGAGCATACATACCTCAGAGTGAAATTGCACATTTTCAGCTTTTTAAGATCATGCCTAAGTTGTTTATAAATTCAGTCACAAGCAGTTCAGTCACCTGTTTTGAGTCTGTGTTTCACCTTCTTGATGTTTTTCCTCTAGCCGAAAGCTCACCAGTTCAGCATCAAGTCCTTCTCCAGCCCCACTCAGTGTAGCCACTGCACCTCCCTGATGGTAGGGCTGATCCGGCAGGGCTACGCCTGCGAGGGTGAGTGTCAGCCTGTGAGCCCCGCGGAGGTCGCGCCAATTGCCTGGGGGCACCAGCCATCTGGGGGTGGATGGGGAGAGCAGTTGTTTTAAAGGCAGATAAAACTGAAATGAAGCCTGACTGAGTTAGTTGAGGGCAGAGTTTCTTTCTTTAGTTTTATAAATGCTCAGTGAAGGTTTGTGAGTTGAAATTCTGAATCCTTGCTGCAGTGGGAGAGAGCGCATTCCTTGGGTGACCCAGGTTATCTATTGATAATTGTTTATTATGAAATGAAATGTTCATGGTCCTTCTAGAAAATGGGGAAAAGCCGAGAGCCAAAAGAACTTTAAGATCTTCCATCATAATGTCATCTAGAGATAAGCACCACCACTTGCCTTTTTTCTTCTAGTTGTATCATTGTTAGCATTTTAAACCTCTATTGTGCTCTTGCCCTGTGCTGGGCGCTGTGCTCATGTTGGGCAACACAGCCCGTGCAGTGTAATTGTGATCGCCCCGTCTCACAGGTGGGCAGCCAGCTGAGGTCACATGATGAGAAGTGACAATCCTGGGGCCAGAGCCGACTCTGAGCACACGTCCCTAACCTCTGGTCGACAGGTGGAGGTGCTCTGCAAAAGAAGCTTTGTGTTTTCCTTCATTTTACTTGTTAGCAGAAGCCTTTTCCTTTGTTATTTCAACTGAGCGAGCCTTGTGATTGGCTGCCTGGACCCCTATATGTCACTGAAACCATTGCCTCGCCACAGACCTGCAGGTTGTTTCCTATCCAGGAGTTTCTGGAACATAACCATGTGGAATCAGGCTTGGGCTTTCTGGGGGAAGAAGAAGAAAAGCTTTGTGATAATGCTTTTATGTTGATGAGTCCTCACTTCCCTGTATGCGGTCCCGTGAGCATGTTGAAAAGTCATTCAATACCAAAGTCCCTGAGCTTTTGTGGGAACAGTGTACCAGAAGCTTGACTTTATTGGGTATCTAGAGCGTTTCCTGTGACACGTGGAATTATCAAGTGGCCGCCTCTGTGGCGTCTATTCCACATGACTTCTGCTTTGGAGGAAGCAGGTTCTGATGGTGGTGGTCCTTCACTTTTCCAGTGTGCTCATTTGCTTGCCACGTAGCCTGCAAAGACAGCGCTCCCCAGGTGTGCCCCATACCTCCCGAGCAGTCCAAGCGGCCTCTTGGTGTGGACGTGCAGAGAGGCATAGGAACAGCCTACAAGGGCTACGTCAAGGTAGGACATGCGAGGAAGTGCAGCCACTCCATCACTCCCTCGGGCAGGCGAGAGCGATTCTCCCCCAGCTCTCAGGGTGTGATGATCCACAACCATGCCCAGCTGCTCTTGAAAGCAGTCCCTTTGCTGTGTGAAGTGACCTTCGTGCCAGTCCTGGGAGGCCTTCCCTCCTGGGAAACGAGGTCAGGCCCCAGGGTCCTGAAGACCCCCCCAGAAACACTCGTAATCAACCGGAGCCCTTTGTCCCCGCCTCCAGGGCTGTGCTTAAAGACAGGCTTCCAGAGCCAAGTGCTGTTTGAAAACCGCTGTGCCCGGATGGCCTCTGAGGGCCTGTCTAGCTACAGCATTCCAGGATGCTCCATGTGTGGTGGGAACACACCTGTTTGCTAAGTTGTCCACCTCGACCCCTACATCACCTTCTGTCATGTGCAGAGCCCGTCCCCAGCAGTGCCCTGAGCCTTCCTGGATCCAGATGCAGCTCTGCCAGGAGCCTGGGGCAGGGCATGAGGGAGCTGTCCCTGGAGAAGCAGGCCAGCCATGCAGCAGCTGGAAGGAGATGGGGGACGTGGCAGCCACCTCCAAGAAGTCTCCCAGGGCCCACGGCCTCCACTTTTTGCTGCCTGGATTGGTTGCGACTGGCTTCCCTTGCCCAGTGAAACATGATCACTGTATCTGTAGGTCCCAAAGCCTACGGGGGTGAAGAAAGGATGGCAGCGGGCTTATGCTGTGGTCTGTGACTGTAAGCTCTTTCTGTATGATTTGCCTGAAGGAAAATCCACCCAGCCTGGCGTCATCGCAAGCCAAGTCTTGGATCTCAGGTGTGTGTTTTGTGCGGTCTGTTCTTGTTCTGTGAGTTTTGACTTATCTTTTGCCAAAATGAGAGTTTGTTGCTTGGTAATCTTTAACCTCATTCTTACCTTCACATCTTTAATTATTGTACAGTTCCAAAAACAGGTACTTAAAGTGCATGCTAGAAACTTTTCAGCTTTGGATATTTTTGCACTGAAATATTTGCCATATAAACATTTAACGTAAGAAAACTACATGCCCCAAGAACAAGTATAAAATATCCCAGGGACCGGCCCGGTGGGGTAGCGGTTGAGTTTGCGTGCTCCACCTTGGCATTCTGGGGTTCACCGGTTCGAATTCTAGGCGCGGACCTGCGCACCTCCCATCAAGCCACCCTGGGGCAGCCTCCTGCATAGAGCAACTAGAAGGATGTACAGCAATGACATAACAGCTATCTACTGGGGCTTTAGGGAGGAAAAAAGGGTGAAGATTGGCAACAGATGTTAGCTCAGGGCCAGTCTTCCTCAAAAAAAAAAATATCCCAGAGACACGTTGCACGGCCTAAGGTAGTCTGCTTTCTAGTAACCTGACAGTATTCTTTGTGACAGAAATCTAGAGCCCTGGGCTCTGTGTGGCCATAACGTCTGCTGTGTGACACCGTTTCGTATCACTTTCATCTCTCATCAGATGCCCTCTTAGCATCAAACGTATGAAGACAGCAAAGCATCTTCCTTCCTTATGGTTAATGTCTAACTTCTCATTTCCCCATTGTAAAATGGGCATAATAATAGCATCATTAGGTCAGACGGTTGTTGTGAAGGTTATACAAATTCACAGATGAGGCGTGCTTAGCATAGGCCTGGCAGGTAGAGCTGTGCTGCTGCCACTGCTGCCATGTCCTCTCCCGTCCCTCTGTCACCTACCCCCAGTGCCACACAGAACGGCACGTGCCACAGATGTTGTGAACATGCTAACCCCTGCCCTGGGCTAGGGCCTGGCCTGCAGCCTGGGTCTCCAGCACTGGTTCTTGGGGGACAAGGTGGGCTGCAGCAGGTGCCATTGGGGACAGCTTCAAGAACAAGGGTGTAGCAGAGTCACCTCCACAGTACTTTCCACTTTCCAGGTCCCCAGCCCAGGGGGCAGGGATGAACAGCTGGGCACTAGTGTTTTGGAAAAGTCCCCAGGGGATCCTGCTCATCCCTCGCTGTGCACAGGTGTGCCCTGGCCTAGTGGTGAAGAGGCCGCTGGCAGATGTCCCAGGAACATCGTTGGACATAGAGCGTATTGGAGATGGGGCTTCCGTGATTATCTCAGCACATTTTATTCCCCTTCTTCAAAAGTGATTACCAAGTGATTGCCTGATTATAGCCAACTACAGGCCGCATCAGTGATGTGGTATTTGTGACCGTGAAACAGTCTGACACAGAGTCGACACTGGGACTCAGGGAGGGGGCTTTTATTCTCAGGCATCCCTAGTCATTGAAACACACGCAGAATTCTTGAGTCTGTTTGTTGGCTTTATCAGTGTAAGCATCTTCTTCTCCAGATGCAGGCGAGGGGCCTCCCTTATAGTCTAAAAAATAGAGTCATGAAAGGGTCCTCTCTTGTAAGATTTGTAGTACAAAAGGATAGAGGACAGGGCCCTGTTTGTGTGTTTCTTTCCCGATGTTCTGAATGCTCTGTTTCTTACCAGAGATGAGGAGTTCTCGGTGAGCTCAGTCCTGGCTTCAGATGTCATACATGCTTCACGCCGAGATATTCCGTGCATATTCAGGGTATGGTTTTTTTCTGTTATTTAGAGATGTTTCATTAATCATAAAAAAACAAAATCACATGGTTAAAATAAAACAGTTCTACTGAGCATTTCATTGTGCCGTAGCAAGGGGCTAGCACACATCCAGAATGGACTGCCTGTTTCTCCACCTTCTTGTCTTGCTCCAGATTTCCGCCCCCACGTTGAGTGTGTCCACTCCACCCTCACACCCCACCCTCACTGAGCAGCAGGCCCCTGTCTGCACACAGCGGTGCCCCTCTTGTTAAGGCACCTACCCTCCAGCTTCTTCTCAGGGCCCCTTCTGCCCCCGCCTCACTGGCCCTGCCTTTCCATCCTGCATCCTTCTTGGTCCGTATCTCAGTTACTCTAGTCACAGTGTGCTTGATTCTGGAAGCACCTCACAGTCAGTTACGATGAAATGTAGTGCTTTGCCTTCCTCCCTAGGAGTTACTGGTCATTAACTGGAGCAAAACAGGAAAAAATAAGTAGACATTGCTCAGCAGCATTTTTTTTTGCTGAGATGGAGAGTTCCCCCACTGAGTTAGTGTTAGCTATTGTGGCATTAGGAAGCTTCTAGAAGATGTAGACCAGAGAAGGAATCACCTCCCAACCCCTTCTGCTGGGAATTTTTATAAATAGAGTAAAATTTTGATTGACTATGAAACCACGTCTACGAATCATTTTTTATTAAATCACATCTCTATTCAGAAACTACCTCTGTATACAATACAGAAAATTGCCATCATTGTTTGCTTAAAAGATGATCATTTTGTGGCAACTAAAACTCTCCAGGTTTCCTGATAAGTGCTTAGGGAATGCTCGCAGGGAAGTATGTCTGGGCAAAGTGTTTTTGTTTGAGATCCTGTTTTCCCTGGACGTGTACTGAGAATTTGTTTTTTAATTATAATAAGAGCATTCAAGAAAGCAGTTTTAAAATGCAGTTACACCACAGTTTTGGCAAGAGCAGAATTAACTAAAATCTGACAAGGAAGGGAAGCAGGGCGCCATGTCTGTAATTACACCCCCGCCCATTTACAGCAGCAGAGGAGCCCCTCCTGACCTCTGTGGACAACTCAGAACAAGGACCCAGAGTCGAGACTTTTAACCCTGACGGTTGCCCTTGAGTCAGAGTGCTCTGGAAAGTGTATCTTTCCTGTTCTTCACCTCTAGTCGAAACAGTGTCCAGGCCAGGGGTATGGGCATCTGTTTGATGTGGTTTGGTTGTCTTATGGCTCTTCTCTTTGTCTGTTTTGTTTTTTGTCGTGAAGGTGACAGCCTCTCTCTTAGGTACACCTTCTAAAACCAGCTCACTGCTCATTCTGACGGAAAATGAGAACGAAAAGAGGAAGTGGGTTGGGATTCTAGAAGGACTCCAGTCTATCCTTCATAAGAACCGCTTGAGGAATCAGGTTGTGCATATCCCACAGGAGGCCTACGACAGCTCGCTGCCTCTCATCAAGGCCGTCCTGACAGCCGCCATCATGGGTATGTCTCAGATGCCATGTGAGGAGGCACCATGTTCATTAAGTATGAAAAAGCAGAGTATTTCAAGTGGTGCTGCAATGCCTAATCTGAACATTCCAACAGATTAAGACCACAGTTGTGTTGTCCACTTGAATTTATAGTTTCTCCATGTGTTTTAAGAAGCCAGCCATCTGTGCTGACAGGACTGATTTTCTTTATGTTGTTCCCCTCCGGCCTCTACAGATGGGGACAGGATTGCAGTCGGCTTGGAAGAAGGGCTCTATGTCATAGAGGTAACCCGTGATGGTGAGTGAGCAGGGCTGGTGTCCATCCTGTAATGTCTTGGGTCACGCCTGGTTAGTGCAGACCAGCACAGCATCAATAATAGGCACTTGTGAGAGTGAAGACGAATTCACTGGACATGGAAATCAAGTCACCATGTCAGAGAACTTTATGAAAAAATGATAAAGCAAACAGCTTAGAGAAATAACCTGCAACAGATAAGACAGATGTTCAACAAACATCTGTTGAGTGTCTGCTAGTGCCTCAGACGGGGGGCCAGGCTTCCACCCTGCGGGTTCAGTGGAGCGCAGAGATCTGTTTCAAGGGCATGTTTCATTGGTTAAGGGCTTCTAGGAGAGGGTTTAGTAGGGAGTCGGGCAGGGAGAGCTTCCCCAAAGGAGAAACGCTTACTGAATTCCTGGATGCGCCGAGGCCTTACTGAAACTTGCCTTCCTTTGCTTCAAGTTTTGACGTTTCATTCTTCCCAGTGAGAAAAGGCAAAAGTATCCCCACGTCTCCCCTCTTCACTGCCCTGGACCTAGGGCTAGAAACCCAGGAGCTGAAAACTGGCCCTGGGCCCTGCCAAGGCTCTGAGAGCCTCCCTCAAGGAATAAGGAGCTGATTCGTGGTGGGCAGCGTTCCCTTCCTGACGAACCTGGTGTCTCAGCACACTGGATGACATGGAGGAAGGGAGCAGACCAAGGGCTCTGGCCTGGAGAGCCCTGAGTGGAGGTCCTGATCCATGGTCCAATTAGGGTATCGGGGGTATTGGGTTAATTTGGGGGCCCAGTGAGCAGGTGAGTGCTTTCAGAGAGTTTATCTGAGGATCCAGTAAGGTTGGAGACAACCCTTTGTTCCCCAAATGCAGCCCGAGGTCTCTTGGCTTCAGAGATGAGCTGGAAAGAGGTCCACATCCATCCACTGCACTTGGCATCTCCCAGCCAGGGCCCTGTGCCTTGAGGGTCTGTGTGAGATGACACAGAGCAGAGATGGAGGGGTGTTAGGAGGGAGAGGCATCTTCTTTAGAGCACAGTGGGGCTGTTCTCCCCTAGGCTGACTGCGGTGGGAAGGGAGCAGAGGGAGGCTCCTGATGGGCCTTTAGGAGATGCTCTTGAGCTGGTTTGAGATACTGACGGTCAGTCCCTGCCTTCGGCCTCCTTCCCACAGTGATCCTCCGTGTTGCTGACTACAAGAAAGTGTACCAGATTGAGCTTGCTCCCAAAGAGAAGATCGCCGTCCTCCTCTGCGGCCGGAACCACCACGTCCATCTCTGTCCGTGGTCTTCCTTTGATGGGGCGGAAAGCAATGTCGATATCAAGCTTCCAGAAACAAAAGGCTGCCAGCTCATGGCAACAGCGACACTGAAGAGGAGCTCTTCCACCTGCCTGTTTGTGGCAGTGAAGCGGCTGGTCCTTTGCTATGAGATCCTGAGAACTAAGCCTTTCCACAGGAAGTTCAATGAAATTGGGGCCCCTGGCAATGTACAGTGGATGGCCGTGGTCAAGGACAAGCTCTGTGTTGGCTACCCTTCTGGGTTCTCTCTGTTGAGCACCCAGGGAGATGGGCAGGCTCTAAACCTGGTAAATCCCAATGACCCCTCGCTTACGTTCCTCTCACAACAGTCTTTTGATGCCCTTTGTGCTGTGGAGCTCAAAAGTGAGGAGTACCTGCTTTGCTTCAGCCACATGGGACTGTACGTGGACCCACAAGGTCGGAGGTCACGCATGCAGGAGCTCATGTGGCCTGCGGCGCCTGTTGCCTGTAGTATGTATATGTTTTTCTGTTGCCATATCCCTGTTGCTGCTTTTCACATCAACAGTCAGCATGTGTTCTATTTTGCTTTGGTTTGTCTTCCAGTTCCCTTAGCTGAGTAGTTAGAGAAGCGCCAGGAGAGGTGGGCCCCAGGGTTTTCTGCAGTAGAAGGTGTGGCCCTGACACCGTGTCTCAGACCTGCTGTGGGTGGGCTTGCAGGTTGGCTGCAGGCCTGCCCTCCTGAGCCAGCCTCCCGCCTGCCAGCACCTTTCTCTCTCCAAGTGCTTTGCAGGAGCCCCTTCAGCTGAAGAACCCTGATGGTGATAATTTATAAACTTACACAGTGATAAAACCAAACTAAAGGTTTTTGGTGGCCAGAAAAAATTCAGCTCTGATGTCCAGGTTAGAGTTGCTCTTGGGACAAGTATTTTTCTGAGAGTGGTAGGAGCTGTTCTGGGAAACAGTTGAGTTACTTAATTTGCCTAGTTTAAGTGGCTTCTGTGTGAGTGATGTCGCTGGGTGGAAGTCGTGAAGGCCTGAGAGCTTGGTGAGCAAGGCCCTGGCGTCTGGGCTCCATGGAGGGCACTTCCTGCCTGGCCTGCGGTCTGATTGCTTTTAAAAGACCCTAAACCTCAAATTCCAACTCACTCAATACATCAAGGTAGCCTGCATTGTCGAACTAGCATGTCAGACAGAAATCGGGGAATAGCTAGCCACAGGGACACGTTGATTTTTGAGCTGGCAAGGGGTGGTGTTATGGGGATAAGAGGTGGGTGTCGTATTTTTCCTTAATTACCTGAAGGTACTACCCTTTGCCAAGCTAGCAGAGTACACAAGGGCCTAAGGACCCGGAGCCCGGTCCTGTGAGGTAGGCTGCCAGCCTTCAGCTCACAGGGGCTCACTGGATGTTTCTTGACTGCATTCGCCCTGGGCCGGGCTGGGGGAGCGGTGCAGGCCTCCCAGAGCCCTTAGGAAAGGAGGCGTGCCCTCCTCCTGGTCTCTTACCTGCTGTTCCCCATCATCTTCCTGTGTACCCTCTACAGGAATAGCCTCGGAACCACACAGTATCCTTGCTTATCAGGGCTTTTTCCTCTAGAACTTGAACTTTTTGAAAAGTAGAATGTCAAAAAGGATACAGGTCACTGAGTGCAGTATTTTTATAATCTTGGCTGAGAGTGACTGGGTGTGGATGCCTGATGTTCCTGTGTTCTCTGATTCCAGTTCTCTCTCCACCTTTGTGGGTCTTTTTTTTTTCCTCCCCCATGCACAGTACAGACACCAAATCAATTTTAGAGCCGGCGAAAAATAATTAAGTAATTTCCAGAATGGAGAACTAAAATTCTCTGTTGCCTACTTGTTCCAAGCCCTGCGCCGAGCACTAGTGTTTGTTCTCACTCCCTTCCGGTCACGTGGGGCAGTGTAGTCAGTCCTATCTTACCGAGGAGGAGGCTAAGGGCCACAGAGGTGAGATAACTTGCTTAAGTCACACAGCAGAGGCTGGATTCAAACTCAGATCTGTCAGACTCCACAGCCCATTTTCTTTCCACTGATAATTAACTTTATAGTTCAAAGTTTTCATTAGCCTGGACATTTTAGTTTATCACTTTATCAGCAAATCATACAGATCTCTTCCCAGCTCCTTGGAGATGAATTCCCACATATTTACAAGTAAGAGGAGCTGCCCCAGAAGCCCCTGGTGTGGCGAGTGGTCTATTGAAAGTTAGTCCAGGGTCCCTGGATGTCTCTGACCATCTTTTTTGTATGTAGCAGTCAAAAAGAAGGCCTCATGGTTTGTCTGAAATGTCACTTGTGAGAAGTTTGGTGACTAGTTCCAGCATCTTTTGTCTACTTCCTAAATCCTGGGGTTCTTTTTCTTTTTTGTATTTCTAAGAAAAGGGCTGATCATGCAGCCCATTTGAAATCTGTAATAGCAACGTAGCGAAGCTTTTTAAAAATTCATCTTCAGTTAGTAAAGTGTGACATGATAAAGATTAACTTTCAACCCTTGAAGGTAGAAAGACCAGGAACCAGGGCTGAACTAGAGCCATCTACACGGCTCTGCGTTTCTGCAGGGTGATGCCAGGGATAGCTGGTGACAGCCAGCAAGGTTGAGTGTGACGACAGTCAGCGTCCCTCAGACCATGGCCTCACCATCCCTGGCAGGATGACTGAGGAGAAGCGGACGTCCACTGCTGCTTTCCCTCTCTGACAGGGCAGATATTTTTACCACTGTGCTAAACGCGGGGGAAGCCTCTTATGCTTCAAATGCCCAGTGGGCCCACAGTCTATGGGCTCGTGTCTTGGGGCCCTAGGTGGGTTTCCCGTCCCCCCTGACAGTGTGACATCACTTAGGCAGGACCGCGCCAGCTCCAGAGCTCACTGTAGCAAAATAATTACTGACACTCGCACGTGTGTTCAGACCAGACTGCAAAAGGGGTGCCTGGAAACCTTCTGAAGGGCCAGTTTCCTACAGAGAAAGCCGACGTGTGGTGCATAGATGGGCAACATGGTTGCCCCAGAGCTAAGCAATAGTTTTTGTGTGAAAATTTTAAATATTTACTCAGAAACCTGACTTTTTGGCATAAGGAATTTGCCTCATAAAACAACATTTGGCCCCTACCTGAATCTCAGTTGTGTTGAGCCCAAAGTAATAAGCTTTTGCAATAATCATGTAAGAAAGCTAAATGAAAAAGCTAACTTTTTAAACAAATCATTGCCAACATCTATGCTGTGGTATTTAAAATGCTATTTAGTTACAGACTTGGTGGTAAAGCACTTAGACATTTGGAGTGTTTGTCTGGACTTTGGATTGAAGATTCACTCTGGAGTGGGAACGGGAAAGTATCTGCGATTCGGCCCCATTGGGACCACCCGAGCGGAGGGCGGTGTGGCCTGCCTTCGCGCTTTCTGAAGTCCCGAGGGCTCGGGGGCTTGCCGCCGCCCTCCAGGGTGGAGGGCATCAGGCTGGGGCCGGCCTTGCTCACCTTGCTTTGCCCCATCTGCGCCAGGTTGCAGCCCCTCACACGTCACGGTGTACAGCGAGTACGGCGTGGACGTCTTTGACGTGCGCACAATGGAGTGGGTTCAGACCATCGGCCTGCGGAGGGTAAGGCCCCGGGGCGGGGCGGGCAGTCTCCTCCTGCTCTGCCGCTGGCTGTGCAGCTACTCTCCCTCTCTGGTTTCCAACACAGATAAGACCCCTGAACTCCGAGGGCACCCTCAACCTCCTCAACTGTGAGCCTCCGCGCTTGATCTACTTCAAGAGCAAGTTCTCCGGTAAGCCTTTCTCAGCAGGTGAAAGTGGAAGGAAGGAGGGATTACCTGTCATCTGTCTGTCACCGGCATGCTCGGCCCTTCCTCTCATACCCTTTGTCCCCCTCCGTCCCCACTCCATCCTGCGTGAGGCCACACGTGACTACAGGTGTCATTCCTCATTCCCGCAGGAGCAGTTCTCAATGTGCCCGACACCTCTGATAACAGCAAGAAGCAGATGCTTAGGACCAGAAGCAAGAGGCGATTTGTGTTCAAGGTGCCAGAGGAGGAGAGGCTGCAACAGCGGCGGTGAGAGCTGGAGCCCGGCCGGCAGCTTCACTGAGGAGGGGTTGTGTAGAGCCAAGAGGAATTTATGTATTATGAATCTCAAAAATATTTTCTTCTCCCCAGAGAGATGCTTCGAGACCCAGAATTGAGATCCAAAATGATATCCAACCCGACCAACTTCAACCATGTGGCTCACATGGGCCCGGGCGACGGGATGCAGGTGCTCATGGACCTGCCTCTGGTGAGCTTGTGGGACGGGCGGGCGGAGCTGCGTCTCAGACACTGTCAGGGCTTTCCTCTGTCTGAGGGAACTCCTTCACAGGCGTTTCTGAGTTGCCCAGGTTCCCCCCTTCTGCTCCTGGGAGCTGTGAACATTGGGGACCTTTGTGTTTGTTAGGTGTCTGTCACCATTTCAGTCTGTTAGTGTTTCATAAGGAAACTGGCTGTGTCAACAGTGATTTCTAAATCACATCTTAGTAAGAGCAAGTAACATATTTTGTTTTTCTTTTTTGCTTAAAAAAATGTGTTCTGTATAGGATTTGACTTGACCTAAAATTGCTATTGCCAATTCTTAGCTCAAAACTGACCCGGTGCCACTGTCCAGAGAGCCTTCCCAGCACCTCTTTTGCTCATTGAGGTCCCAGAGCCCCAGCCATGGTCTGTGGTACAGACTTTGCACCTTTGCTGGCCTACCTGCTGGGCCGGCTGGGGTCAGACATGGCTCTGCCCCGGGGCCTGTGCTTCCAGCCAGGATGCCGCGAGCGTGCTCACAGGCTGTTCTCTCTGCCCAGAGTGCCGTGCCCCCTGCCCAGGAGGAAAGGCCCGGCCCCACTCCCACCAGCCTGTCCCGGCAGCCTCCGCCCAGGAACAAGCCCTACATCTCGTGGCCCTCATCAGGTACAGAGGGCACCAAGTGCGGGAGCCTGGGAGCTGGGACTTCCAGGCTTTTGGTTCAGCTCGTGACTCTTTTTCCCTAAGATGACTGCCATCTTTGTTCCATAGGTGGATCGGAGCCGGGAGTGGCTGTGCCTCTGAGAAGTATGTCCGACCCCGACCAGGACTTTGACAAAGAGGTAAGACTTGCTGGTTATAGGGATGCGGCCAGGGCGTCTGAAGCTCCACACTCCACGCGGGAGGAGAGCCAGAGCGGCTGCCCTTTGGAGAGAGATACTCTTCTTCCCTGGAGCAGCCGTGTGGGGCCCGTGGGCTCTGGAAGGAGGTAGGGAGGAGTGCAGCTGAGTCACCGTCCACAGAAGGAAGAGGAGCCTGATGATGTGGGGGCCTGGGCGGTGGTCACCAGCCCCTCTGGAGCTCCCCACTCACAATTTTCAGGCTGTGCTGAGGGAGGGGAAGATGACATGGGCTCTTTGGTCTTGAGCCCGGCAGGAAAAAGATGTGGATTCCTACCTCTGGGTAATGGCATGAGCAGCACAGTCCCTCAGTCAGACCAAGGCCTCCATGGCCTGCTGCTGAGCCTCCTTCCAGGCTCTGCTTTTGAGTCGCCTGGCTCCCCTGCCCCAGCCATGGCTGCCCTCAGTCTGGGCCAGAGAGAAGGCTGCTGAGAGCACCTGAGCACAGAAGTGGCTGCAGGCAGGTGCTGGGGCCCTGGCTCTCCTCCTGGACACTGACTGTGAGGTGGGGGCTATCACTCTGCATGACAGAAGTGAAAGCATTCCTGTGGAAAGTCCAGCCAACTTCTCCCTTCTAGACTTTTCTGTGTCGTTTTATACACTTATGTGTAACATACTAGAAGGTGCGTTCTTTTTAAAGCACAGGTGGCCTTGTGCATCTTGGAGAGCCTTCCATGTTGGCCTCTCCTCCCCCTCCTCCTCTCCTGAGGTCCTCTCGGGATGAGAGTGCAGGGACTCACGTGGAGAACCACCCCGGCTCGGGTTTCCTTGGGGCTTTCCAGACCCTGCTCTGGTTGGCAGCATTCTCATGCAGTTGAGGCGTGCCTCTCTGTGCCTCAGTTTCCCCTGTGTGAGATGGGAGGAGAATGCTCCTGACTGCAGGGTTGTCGAGAAGATGAGTGAGGTGAGAAATGCCTGGAAGTGAGCACTCGAGGCTCTTTTCACCCTTGGGAGCGTGTCTGTAGGAGGCAGGCAAGGAGCTGGACGCTCTCCCCAGACCGCACCCCCGGCATGGACACCGTATATTCACATTAGCTGCTGGATTGATAAGGCAAAAAGCAGAAAGGTTTCATTTCCTGTATTCCTAACTCTCACTGCGCTTGGCCCTCTTTTCATGTGTGAAATGGCCATGTCTTCCTTCGAGGTCCGCACCCTTCACCGTCTTGCTGTTGAATCATTGTGCTTTTCTCTTACTGATTTATAGAAACTCTTTATAAATTGTGAATATTATCTGTTGCAAATACTTTTCCCAGTATCACTAATCTTTTAATTTTGTCTTTTAAGGGTGTTTTATCATACAGAAATTTTTAATATTTACACAGTCCAGTTTGTATCTTTTTAAATTAAGATAAATATTCTCTTGTAGTCTCTGAGAACTTGGCAGGGTTTTCTTTTCTGTTTGTCATTGCATCGTGAAAATGTCTGTGTGAGAATGAGTGTGTGTATGAGTGAGAGAGCATGTGTGTGTGAGTGTAGGCAAGGACCTGATCTTTCTATCTAAAGTGGCACACTAGCCCTGCACCACTTATTTCCCTCCATTTTGAAATGTTATCTTGATTATAAATTCCTTTGTTTACATGTTTCTGTTTCTGGAATCTCTGTTCCACCAGCGGATGGATTATTTTCCTATGCAGTACCACCTGTAACATGAGATCTGGCGGAGCAAGATCTCTCTCCCCCTTTTCAACAATTTCTTGGCTATTTTTTATTTTCTCCTTCAAATAAATTTTAAAATCAGCTTGTTATCTCCATAATAGAAAAGTAAAAATTGAGTTGAGCTTTTCACTGGGATTACATTGAATTCATAGACTAATTTGGGGGATATTCGCCATCTTGACCTTTCCCATGCAAGAACTTTGAGCGTCTCTCCAGTTAATGGTTTCTCTCCTTCAGGTCGTGCATGTTTGTGGTTAATAAGTTTATTCTTAAGAATATCAAGGTTTTGTTGCCATTGTGAGTAGAATATAATTTTCCGTTAACATACTTGGTGGTTATTGCTCGTGTCTATACAAGCTGGTGACTTGGCAGTGTTCTGTGTCCAGCCACTTTACCAAGTTCTCATTGGTTCTGGTATTTGGTTCATGGCCTTGGAGTTTTATCTCTTTGACCCTGGTGTGTGTGATGGGGTGTGAGTGGGTGCATGTGTGGTGTATGTGTGTGTGCACGCGTGTGTGAGTGTTGCCTCTCAGGATGCTGGCTGGGGCTCCCGAATCATAAGGTTTGCTGCCCTGGCACCACTGGCTTGGTGCTCCTGCCTGGGCTTCCCACCAGGACTCATGCTGCCTGTGGTTTCTGGCACCTTTTCACCTGGCTAAGGAAGTGTTTTTCTCTTCCTAGCTTGGGAAGAGTCAGTAAGGAAGGGATGATGGATATTAATCAGCTGCTTTTTAGCATTTTCCAAAGTGACCCTCATGGGTTTTCTCTCCAACCTGTTAAATGTCGAGAGAGTGGATTTTCTTGCATCCTGAGAATAAATCTTCCTTCGTCATGATGGATTATTCTTATTTAGTACACCGATAGATTCAGTTTGTGAACATTTTGTTGACGGTTTTTACATCTGTGTTTGTCAATAAAGTTGACCTGTGCCTTTCTTTTTCTGTGCTGTCCTGAGCCAGCCTTGTTTTCAGGGCTGTGCCAGCCTCAACTCTGACTTAGGAAGCGTGCATCTCTTAGTTGCCATAATACAGGGATTTCCTTTCCTGGAAGCTTTCATAGACCTCCCTTAAAGCTGCCTGAGATTGATGGCTTTAGAGGTAGGTCTTGGGGGTTTTTTATTTTACTTTTTTCCCCTCAATGGTCTATTTTGAAAATTTCAAACCTCCAGAAAAGTTGCAAGACGTGTAAAGTGAACAACCCGTAAAAGCTTACCTAACATGTTTTTCCTCGTTTGATTTTTGGGGGAAGAACTAGCAGAAAGCAAGCTGCAACGTCACAACACCCCTAAGTGCTTCTGCACGTGTTTCCTGAGAGCGAGGGTGTCGCCTCCCGATCACAGTGACCACTCTCCAGAGCTTACATCGCTCCTCTGCCATCATCCATGGTCTCTTCGTGTTCAGATCCCCCCACTCTCCCAGTGGGGTCCTCTAGAGCTTTCTTAAACCCAGCATCCAGTCAAGGGGCATGCGTCGCATTTAGTAGTTGCATCTCTTTAGTGTTCTTTAGTCTGTGTCCAGCCTTTTTTCATCTTTCATAACATTGAATTTGTCATGAAAAGTACAGTTCTTTTGCAATTATATAAGTTGGGACCAACAAATAAGTATGTATGAGCATGTGTGTGTGCACACACATACACACACACTTTTCCTGAACTGGATCGGCAGGTTGCATATATCATGCCCCTTTACCTAAGAGCAAGGATATTCTCTTATAGAGTACAGCTGTCAGATTGATAAAGTAGTCTGCATGTTCCAGTTCTTTCCGTTGTCTCCATAATGTCCTTAAGTACACTTTTTTCTGGTACAGGACCCAGCCCCCAATCACACATTGCATTTCTCTGCCCTGCCTCTTTAGTCCCTTTTACTCTGGAACAGGTCCTCAGTCATCCTTCTTCTGGCGTGACAGTAACATTTTTGCAGAGAGCCATGTCTCTTATTTTCTAGAATGCTCTTTGGTTTGAGTTTTGGTTTGAGTTTGTCCAACATTTCCTTGTCTTGAGATTCAGGTTGCATGTCCCAGACCGGAGTACTGCACAGGCGACATGGTGTCCTTCTCTGGGTGTTGCATCCAAAGGCACACGGAACCTGTTTGTCCTGCACTGACCTTGTTTCTTCCTCTTTTGAGTTTAAGTGAAATTCATATAACATAAAGTAACCATTTTAAAGTGAACAATTCAGTGTCTGTTTAGTACATTCACCATATTGTGCAACCACCAACTTTCTATAGTTCGAAACATTTCCATTACTCCAAAATAAAACCCCTGCCCATTAAACAGTTTCTCCTCGTTCCTCCCTCCCCCATCCCCTGGCAACAACCAGTCTTCGTTCTGTCTTTATGGATTTGCCTGTTCTGGGCATTTCATATAAATGGAATCACATATTAGGTGGCCTGTTGTGTCTGGCTTCTTTCACTTAGTGTAATGTTTTCAAGATTCATCCATGTTGTAGCATGAGTCAGTAGGTTGTTCGTTTTTGTTGCTGAATAATACTCCATTGTATGGATGTACCGCAGTTTATGTATTCATTAGTCCATTGATAGACATTTGGGCTGTTTCTTCCTTTTGGCTATTATGAATAATGCTGCTGCAAACCTGTGTGTACATTTATTTATTTGAGTACCTGTTTTCACTTCTTTTGGGTATGTATCTAGAAGTGGAATGGCTCTGTTGGGTCATATAATAATAACTCTGTCTTAACTTTTTGAGGAACCACCAAATTGTTTTCATAGCAGCTGCACCATTTTACATTCCCACCAGCAATGTACAAAGGTTAAGATTCTTCCACATCTTTGCCAACTGTTATCTCCCTTTTTTTTTTTGATAGCCATCCTAGGGGCTGTGAGGTTGTATCTCATTGTGGTTTTGATTTGCATTTCCCTAATGATTAGTGATATCGAGTGTCTTTTTTCATGTGCTGTTGGCCATTTGTATACCTTCTTTGGAGACATGTCTATTCAGGTCTTTTGCCCATTTTTTAATTGAGTTGTCTTTTTGTTGTTGGGTTGTAAGAGTTCTTTATATAATCAGAATACTAGATCCTTATCAGATATGATTTACAAATATTTCTGCCATTCTGTGGGTTGTCTTTTCACATTCTTGGTAATGTCCTTTGATGTACAAGAGTTTCTAATTTTAATGAAGTCCAATTTACCTATTTTTTCTTCTGTTGCTCTTGCTTTTGATGTCATATTTAAGAATCCACTGCCAAATCCAAGGTCATAAAGATTTATTGTTGTTTTCTTCTAAGAGTTATGGTTTTTAGCTTTTATATTTAGCTCATTGATCCATTTTGAGTTAGTTTTTATATATGGAGTGAGGTAGGAGTCCCACTTCATTCTTTTGCGTGTCATTGTCCAGTTCCAGCACTATTTGTTGAAGAGACTCTTCTTTCCCCATTGGATGGTCTTGGGACCCTTGTTGGAAGTCCGTTGACCATATATGTATTGATTTATTTCTGGACTCTCAGTTCTATTCCATTGGTCTTTATGCTAGTACATAGCACACTATTTTGATTACTGTTACTTTGTAGTACATTTTGAAGTAGTAAGTTTGGGAAGTGTGAGTCTTCCAACTTGTTCTTATTTAGTATTGTTTTGACTGTTCTGGGCACCTTGCAATTCCATATGAATTTCTGGAAAAAAAAGCCATTGGAATTTCAATAGGGATTGCATTGAATCTGTAGATCACTTTGGGTAGTATTGACATCTTAACAATATTTAGTCTTCCAATCTATGAACATGAGACGTCTTTCCATTTATTTGTGTCATCTTTAATTTCTTTCAGCAATGTTTCGTAGCTTCACTGTACAAATATTTCACCTCCTTGGTTAAATTTATTCCTAGCTATGTTTTATTCTTTTGGATGCTGTTGTAAATGGAATTGTTTTCTTAATTTCCTTTTCAGATTGTTCATTGCTGGTGTATAGAAACACAACTGATTTTTGTGTATTGATCTTGAACCCTGCAACTTTGCCAAACGCGTTTAGTTTTTTTGTGTGAGTTCTTTGGGATTTTCTACATAGAGAATCACGTCATCTGTAAACAGAGATGGTTTTACGTATTCCTTTCCAACTTGGATGCCTTTTTCTTTTTCTTGCCTAATCACTCTGGCTAGAACTTCTAGTACAGTGTTGAACAGCAGCAGTGAAAGCAGACATCCTTGTCTTGTTCCTCATCGTAGGGGGCGCTTTGTCTTGCACCATTGAGGATGAATTTAGCTGTGGGTTTTTCATGGACACTTCATCGTGTTGAGAAGGTTCCTCCATTCCTGGTGCGTTTGTCATGAAAGAGTGTCATGTCTGTGACTTTCGACCACTTGGTTGTGGTGGTGTTTGGTTTCTTCACTGCAGAGTTGCTTATTCCTTTTTGTAATTATAATTCCTAAGTCATTTGTGGGGTTGGGCCTCAGTTTATGATCTCTCACCATCAAGCTTAAGGACCACGTGAAAAGCTTGTAGAGTGAGCGTATGTTCCCATAACAAGAAAGGAGAGAGCAGTTGCCACATCTGTCCCTCACAGATGCCCACATGTGGCTGGGCAGCACACCCCTCCACAGGCCCAGGGCAATTGGTTCTCAAGCTGTCCTCCTTGTTTGTGTTAACAGCCTGATTCGGATTCCACCAAACACTCGACTCCATCGAACAGCTCCAACCCCAGTGGCCCGCCAAGCCCCAACTCCCCCCACAGGAGCCAGCTCCCCCTCGAGGGCATGGAGCAGCCAGCCTATGATGCCTAAAGCCGCTGGCCCACTGCCTCACCACCACGGGGCTGGGGAGCCAGGGGTGGCCTCCAACGTCAGTGCCAAGACTGAGCTGACCCTCCAGTGTTGTCCAAGGAAATGTAGAATCGATTTGTAGATATGGAGATGAAGAAAAATCTTTATTATAATAATGATCAGTTTTATGCCGCGTTACTCATGGTGGTAGACCAGATCTATTCGTCTGCACGGCTGTGAGGCGACACTGTTCCGTTTGCACATGAAGGACCACGACACAGTCTCTCCTGCCCAGAACAAGCTGAGAAGGCACGTGGGGCCCTGCCAATGCTGGCCCCCTCTGCAGAAACCCGGTAGACCCTGCACGGCTCTGTTCAGGAAGCAGACAGCTCGGGACACGGCCTCAGTAATAAGTCTGTTCCCTGATCCCTAAAACTGTTTCCTAGGACCTTAGGAGAATAGTAGGAAGTTGTATATCATTCCCAGTGTCACTAGAATTTTGAAGACAGAGGAAATGGAGGTTAGTTTGTGGCCTTTTTATTCATTTAGCCATTACATAGTCAGCTGAAGAAGTCCTTCTGCTGATCTTGTAGCCATGGACAGAGACCCATTTTGAGTGACACCTGCCTGAGTCCCTTGTGTGTGTTAGTGCATTCCCGGTCACACCATGAAGTGTCATCAGTATCTACTACTGTGAAGTCAGCTGTGCTCTGTTTCCCACTCGCTTCCGCCTCCTGCCATGAAACTGGTGAGTGTCGTGGTGCAGCCAGGCCCTGAGGCCTGCTGGGCTGAGAGGAGACCAGAGCCCCAGGTTGCCCAGCAGCAGGCGCCAGGATCCCCCTCCCCTCCCAGTCCCGCCCCTGCATGGAGCCCTGTGATTAGTCCCCATATGGATCATGTAGCCTCACCCGACACACTCCTGCACATTTCCCTGCCGGTGGCGTGGTGACACTCTGCCTGCGTATTTCCTCTCACCCTTCCTTGTATCCTATGTGAGTAATCAGGTTTGTGGCCTGTCTCATTAAAGGCTTGTGAGTAACTGGCCAGCAGACACAGCTTGCCCTCAGCCCAGGACAGGTTTTTCCCTGCTCTCCCACTGGTCGACGTGCTTGGCGACGCTGTTTGAGACGTGCACTTAAACTTGAGTCGGCACTGAGTGATGTGGGCACCACAGCCTGCCTGTGCGTGTCACACACCCAGCACCTGCCCGCCCTCTGCCCCCTGGGCCTTCTGCTGGGGCTGGCACCTGCTGGGGGCTCTGGTTTTTACTTTTTTAATGTAAGTCTGAGTCTTTGTAATTATTGAATCGTGAGAACATTTTTGAACAATTTACCTGTCAATAAAGCAGAAGACGGCAGTTTTAAAGTTCTCAGTGGTTTGTCTGAATGTGATGACCTGTCTTCTTCCTGAGTGTGCCTGGGTTGGGCCCAGTAGTGCCCTGTGCTGGAAGTCCCTTCACAAGAGGCAGTGAAGGAGCTGTCTTGCCTGCAGAAGCCGTTCTTGGTCATTCGCTCAGGGGGGTCATGCAAAAGGTGCCTTTTGTTCACGTGGCGGGAGCTGGCCCCCAGAGCTGTAACCTCTCACCTGCCAGGGACATGGCAGGAGGGCCTCCTGGGGGCACCCTGTATGGTGGTCGGCAGGGTCAGGTGTGGGCCGCTGGGTGGAGGGAGGGCCCATCTGGCTGAGTGCCCCTGGTACGCCTCCAGGTAGCTGCAGCAGCCAGACCGGGGGGTTAGGATTTCAGCCTGAGAGTAGTGGGAGCTCTCAAGGGCAGTGGGCAAGGTGTGGGCCTGCAGCCAGGCACAGGATGGACCTGGGTGCCCAGTGCTGGGTGGGAGAGGGTGACATGCCCGTGAGCCCCCACAGGGCAGAGCTCATCATGAGGGGAGCTTCACAGATGGGGCTCCCATTTGTGGGGCTGCCCGGAGCAGCAGGGAGGGCTCTGTCCACACACAAGTGCATGCTGGCGCTTCAACAGCCCTAGGGGACAGGACAGGGCAAGCCAGAGTCACCAGGATCGAGGTGGGATTAAAGGGGCACTGGCTGGGCTGGGTGGTGACCACACTGGGAGCACTGGCCCTGGCAGGTCAGTTTTCCCCAGGGCAGGGAGCAGCCTGTGGTGGGTTGGGTCATATTTGCCCTGACGGAGACCCCCAGTACGTTCTTGGTAGAATGAGGGCGGTGAGAGCATCTGCCAAAGAGGGTGATGTGAGGACATGACACAGTTCGGAGAGCAGCCAGCCCAGAGCTGGGCAGGGACGGTGCTCGGGAAATGTCCACGGCACCCCTGGGGCTCTGGGCCAGTCAGTACGGCCACAACAAACAGCCCAGCCCTCAGCACTGCGTCCTCCATGGCCCACGCCAGCTGGTGAGTCTGCTCAGCACAGTCACTCGGGACTCCGGGCTCGTCTGTGTGAGGCCTCTGTGGTCACAGCCAGGGAAGGAATGTGGCCTATTTTAGCACGGGCCCCAAAGCTCTGCCCAGAAGGGGGGGGTCACATCCCATCTGCTCCCATTGCCTTGGCAAGCCACACCACCCCCAGCCTCCCAGGGGACAGACAGCTGTCCTCCCATCTGCCCCTGAAAGGGGACTAGGGAGTCGGAGCAGCAGTGACCACGCAAGGCTCAGAGCCTTTCAGAGCCCCTCGAGTGAAATCACAGCAGCTGGAAAAACCAAAAAAATGAGCATGACGAGAGTTTAGTGAGCAGCCCTGTGGGCAGTGGGCAGCCCAGGCTTCCGGTCAGAGATGGGATAGATTTTGGGCCCCATTTGATGTCGGCTTGCATGAGGCGAGAGCGAGGATTAAGGCAAGCAGTGACTGTGAATTGTCTGCAACGCTGGTGCTCCAGAGTGTCAGCCATTTTTAACAAATGAAATACTAGGTGTCATAGCATCATGAATGGTGGCGTTCACACAGTGGAACGCCTCCCAGCACCAAGAGCGACAACCAAATGTAGCGTGGGTGAGCATGGCAGACAGGATGCTGACCCCAGAGAGCACAGCCCTGGTGACCGGAGCGTTAAAAACCCTCAAACTAATCCACTGTATAGAAGCAGGCAGAGTGGTGACCCTGGGGGCGGGGGCGTTGGTGATGTTTCCAGACCCAGATGCTGGTTACAGAGAAGGGTCACTCTGGGACAGTCCAAGCTGGGCCCTTGTCAGTATGACTTTACACACAGCCCCGGGATTTGCCTTCTCACTGCTGCCGGGCTGAGTGCTTACGTGGGTGTCCTACCAGGGGCTGCTCAGCCCTGGCACCCACCCTGCAGATCAGAGCCACCCTCAGAAGGAGGAGGGCAAGGCCTGGCCTTGTCGTGACCAAACACCTCGCCCACCCAGCAGGATGCCCCCTGCCCTCAGCAGAAGGGATAGACCCACCCTGTCCCTCCAGGACAGTGTCCCTGGGGGGGAGTCCAGTCTGGTGGACCTCCATGTCCACCTGGCTGGCCCTTTCCCTGTCCCAGCCCGATGCAGCCCCGGCCTGAGCAGCTTGGCATGATGTGGGAGGAGCACCAGGCAGCCCATATCTCTCCAGCTTCTCCCGGTTCCTCACTCGGGTTTGCCTCTCTCCCCCGACCCCCCCTGTCCAGGTACTTCTCCTTGCCCCTTGCGGGCCCCCAGTTCCTTCCATGGGCTCCTTCCGCGCCAGGGGCAGCCCCCTGCTAGTTCTGGGTGCAACTTCGCAGACCAGAAGCAACTGGCTGCCCCTGTGGCCAGGCGGCAGGTGGGGACGAGCTCTGAGGACCACCCCCGCCGTCCAACTGTGACCAACAAGGGCACGGCCAGCTCTCCCGACTAGCCCCCAGGCAGGGGCAAAGGGCTGGGGGCGCAGGAGGCGCTGTGTCCATGGCTGACAGCAAGTGCAGGAAACCCCTTTATTGGGTAAGACCACTTTATCCTTGGCCGGGGCGGGGGATGAGGAGGGGGCGGGGATCCCGCAGGGCCAGGGACGCCCAACAGGAGCAGGGCGGGCGGGTCACGCGGCAGTTCAGGCCTCGGCCTCGAACAGCGGGTTCACGAAATAGCTGAAGCTGATGCTCCCAGCGTCCGCCTGCGGGGCCGGGGACCGCGGGGGTGCAGAGTCAGAGGGTGCAGCGTCGAACACCGGGTTGTGGAAGCCCAGGGGCGCCCCGGCCGGCGCGGGAGCCGCCTCGTCGCGCCTCCTCCACCTGGGGGGCGGAGACGCGCGTGAGCCCCCCGCAGCCACCCCGGCCTCTGCGGCCCAGTCCAGCGTACCTGAGCCCCGGCCCCCGAGGCCTTGCCCCGCGCTTCTGAGCCCCGCCCCGAGGCCCTGAGCCCCGGCGCCCGCGGACGTGAGCCCCGCCCCCGAGGCCCCGCCCCGCGGACCTGAGCCCCGCCCCCGAGGCCCCGCCCCGCGGACCTGAGCTTCCCCGCGCGGCGCAGCAGCAGCGCCCCCGCCAGCAGCACCAACAGCAACAGGAGCAGCGCAGCCGCCACTCCTCCCGCCAGCCCTGCGCGCGGCCCCGGGCCCTCCTGTCCCGCCGCCGAGCCGTCCCCGACGGGCGCGCCCGACTCCTGGGCCGTCGCGGACAGGACCCCGAGGGCCTCGCCTGCAACGGAGGGCGCCGGCTCAGTCTCCCCCGGGCGGGGCAGGGGCGAGAGGCCGGGAAGGAGGCGCCCACGGTTACCGTGCTCGGCGACGTCCGCCAGGAGGGCCTGGGCCAGCCGCCCCGCGCCGCCCGTCTCGGGCCCGGTCTCTGCCAGCACCACCTGGATCTCTGTGTCCGCCTCCGAGCCATTAGCCTCGCGGGTCCGGGTCGGGCGCGGCACCTTGGACACGGCCATTTGCAGCCCCTGGTACTGGGGCTGGGAAGGGGGACAGGGTTGGCCCGGGTATTCCGCCCCTTGGACCTGCAGGGACGTTGGCAGCAGGGACAAATGGTGGACAGGTGGGCGGAGAGTGAACGCGTCAACGAGGAGGCGGAATGGGGCCCCAGGATCTCTGCGCAAGGAGAGGTCCCAGGCGGGGTTGCGGAGGCTGTAGGGGCTGGGGTGGGGGCGGCCCCATTACCAGGGCCAGGAAGGAGTCCAGCAGCCGCGCCCGGTACCGCTCCAGGTCAAAGGCGGGGCCGTGGGTCAGCGACACGATGGCTCCTGAGATAGGAGGGCAGGGGTCAGCGCCGCGGGCCCGGGACCGACAGGGAAACTGAGGCTGGGGTGGGGGCAAGCCAGGATGGCTAGGCCGTCCCAGAAAGCAGGAGCCAGACGGGGGCGCTCACCGCAGAGGTCGCAGCACTGCCCCTCGGGCCGGAGGGCGTCGTGGCAGGCGGCGGGGGGGCAGCTGCCGCCCAGCGGCTGGAGCAGGGCCTCGCAGATCCACGGCTGCACCTGGCAGGAGGGAACCGGGGGTCAGCGCGGAAAGGCGAGGGGCAGACCGCAGTGAGACAGGGCCATGCGCCCGGGAGGCAAGCAGGCCTGCACAGTCCCGACCTCGGGCCCATCGCCGGACCGCCCCCGCCGCGGTCCCCCAGCCACCCGCTGCGGGCCGCGCTCACCTCGGCGTTGCCGCAGACGCAGCCCGACGGGTCGGCGCAGGCCTCGGAGCCCACGCTCAACGCGCCCGGCCCGTGGAAGCGCAGGCGGCCGGCGCGGGACGCCAGGAAAGAGGCCAGGTCCTCGTCGCGCGTGAACGTCTGCGGGTGGCGGGTCACCAGCGGGGCCAGCCCGAGGAGGAGACAACATCTGAGTACTCCAAACTAGCAGGGGAGGGAGGCAGTGCTCCGGGGAGGGGCACTGCTAGGGCAAAGGCGGGAAATGAGACCCGAGCCTCCTCCCGCCCCGCCCCTGCGCGTCCGGCTCACCTGGCCCAGAGCCCAGACGGTGCAAACGCGCACGGTCCGGGCGTCGGGGCTGAGGCCCACACGGAAGGAGGCGTCGGACGGGAAGACGACGTCGTCGTGGCTGCAGGGCACGCGCTCGGCGTCCACGAAGAAGAGGCCGTGCGCCGCGTCCCCGGAGCGCCACAGGCTCGGGTCGTGCCACCAGAAACGGTCAGGGTCGAGGAAGAGCGCGGGGGCGCCTGGGCGGGCACGCGTCCCTGAGCTCCGCCCGGAAATGCCCCCACCTAGGCCTCGCCCCCAAGGCACGCCCTCTGTCCAGGCCTCGCCCCCACCAGGCCCCACCCCCCGAGACACGCCCTCCAACCAGGGCATGCCCCCCCGTCCCCGCCCCTAAGCAGGACCTCAACCTGGGCCTGCCCCCAAGACACACCCTGCGTCCAGGCCCCACCCCCAGAGACACGCCCTACAACCACGACATGACCTACCCAGGCCCTGCCCCTAAGCTAGCCGTCAACTTGGCCCCGCAGCGAGAGACGCCCCCATCAGGCTCCACGCCCTCCAACCAGGGCATGCCTCCCGGGCCCCGCCCCTAAGCATGTCCTCAACAGGCCCCGCCCCCGAAGACACACCCTCCAGCCAGGACGTGCCCACACCCAGGACGTGCCCCTAAGCACATCCTCAATCTGGCCCCGCCTCAAAGACACAGTCTCCGTTTAGGCCCCACCCCTGAGACACGCCCTCCAACCAGGACGTGCCCCACCCAAGCCCCGCCCCAGAGAACCCTCCATCCAGGCCCCACCCCCGAGACACGCCCTCCAACCAAGACATGCCCCCACCCAGGCCCCACCGCTAAACACGCCCTCCGCCTGGCCCCACCTCCAAGACAGAACCCCATCCAGGCCCCGCCCCCGGCCCCGCCCCCTCACCTGCGCTGCATTCCGAGTCCGAGCTGTTGTCTGGGGCGCTGAAGCTGGCTCCTGAGGCCAGAACGAATTCCCCATCCAGCGGTAGGAGCTGCAGGAAGCGCAGACTGAGGCGGCGCCACGCGGTGGTCCAGGGCTCCAGAGGATCCTGCTCCGCGCCCACCCCCGCCCCTCTGTCCCTGGGGAGGAGAACCTAGACCATAGCGCCTCGCCCTGGCTGAAGGTCAGATAGGCCCGAGGAAGCAGGGCTGCAGGCCAAGGAGCAGGACCTAGCCTGAGACCTGGGAACATGGAAAGTTTGGGGGTTGAGGATGCTTTCCAGGGCCACTGCTCTCGCCTGTCACCCCTGAGAAACTGTACAAGCCAAGGGCTTGTGGGTTCCGGGAACCCAAGCCAGTGGGGAGTCTAAAGGCAGCCCTGAACCGTGTGAGGGAGGGGAGGGAGCTACGGTTCCGAGGGAGGGGTTCCAGGGGTGGCAGAGAGGGTAGGGGGGCCTTGGAGTCTCCCCTGCCTCCCTGCAGGCCTGGGGTCCACCATGGCAGCCCCTTCACCACAAAAGTGGGGCCACAGCCCAGGCCTCAGGTATCAGAGGAAATAAGGCAGGGAGAAGGCCAGAAGAGGGAGGACTGACTGCGCCCCCTCCTTCTCCCTCCCCTCGAAGCCCCAGGACTCCACCCCTCCTCCTTCTGACCCTCAGGATTGGGGTTGGATGTGAGGTCTGGGCCAGGGGAGCTGCTCATTGCAGGGGTCATGAGGGGTTCAGCCTCATCAGGGTAACCAGCCTCATGTCCCAACTTGCTGGGCAGGGCCTGCTCTTCAGCCCATCCCTGAGCACTGGACCTGGCCAAGAGGCTGACACCCGGGGAATGTGAGATCACAGGCCAACTACCTCCACACCTGAGGGTGCAGCACTGTGACAACAGGGCAACCCCACCCACAGGTGCTGGGGCAAGCCATGGGGACAAACGGACACGATACGCCACAGGAACAGGGGAGATATCCGCAGTGTGAAGCATGAACAAAAACTCGTTTTTTAAAAGAATCACGGGGGAAAATACAAATAAATTATGAAAAATGTAATGGTTGAAAAGAAGAGCACAATAGGTGAGAAAAACATGAGGACTTATGCAGCTGAAGAACACCCAGTGACTGGGGGTTCCTGTTAAGGAGCTCTCCAGAAGACAGCAGGAAAGGACTCAGAGAGAGAAACTAGGAGAGATGGAAGGATCGACATCACAGTGCCAAAATTCAGACACAAGGGGTGCGGGAGAAGAATAAATATTTGAAGAGACAACGAAGATGAATTTTCCAGATTTGAAGAAAGCTGGGAAACCTTGGACTGAAAGATCTCATTAAGTGCCACCAGGAAATAAGGAAAGTCACACCCACACACATGACAGTGGATTTATGAATATCAAAGACAGAACATTCTAAAAGCTTCATAGAGAAAGAACAGATCACCCAGGAAAGAAAAAAATTCAGAAATCATGTTTCTCAGCAACAACAATGGGTGCAAAAAGACAATAGAATAATGTTTTATATATTACAGGAAAAGAACATTCCATCTAGAATTTTATACCCAGCCAAACTTCCATTCAAACGCAACAGCATAATAAAAATATCCTCGAGCCTAAAAGACTTCAAAATGATGGCCACACAAACACCTACCTTAAAAACATGCTTAGAGGAAGTAGGAAGGAAAGAAATCCAGAGGCTGCAAAGAGATATGGGAAGTAAGGGTGATGAAATGCTTTGGTAAAGTTTATTGTTGTCTTTTTAGATTTTTAAAAGCTAGAACTAAAATGTGATGAGGGAGGGAGAGACCAAAAGGGCACAGGCGTACACTAAAGAACTTGCTTGTTCAAGGGAAGATACAGATATTGAAAAGTTTAAGAAATCAAAAGGACTGCCACACTTGAAAACCTGGATGAAATATATCAATTTCTAGAAAAACTTAAAATGTCAAAATTGACACAAGAAGCAATAGAGAATTTGAATAGACCAGTAAGCATTACAAAAATTAAATTGGGGGCCCGCCCCGTGGCTTAGCGGTTAAGTGCGCGCGCTCCGCTACTGGCAGCCCAGGTTCGGATCCCGGGCGCACACCGACGCACCACTTCTCTGGCCATGCTGAGGCCGAGTCCCACATACAGCAACTAGAAGGATGTGCAGCTATGACATACAGCTATCTACTGGGGCTTTGGGGGGGAAAAAAAAGGAGGAGAATTGGCAATAGCTGTTAGCTCAGGGCCGGTCATCCTCAGCAAAAAGAGGAAGATTAGCATGGATGTTAGCTCAGGGCTGATCTTCCTCACAAAAAAAAAAAAGAAATTAAATTGTTAGTCAAAGACCTCCTATTCCCCAAATCCCCAGTCCAGGTGTTTTAACAAGGGAAGTATACTAAACTCTCAAGGAATAATTAATTTCTTCTTACAGAAGTTTTCTGGAAAACAGAAAAAAAGAGTGAAAATTGTCCAGTCTATTTTATGAGGCCAGTGTAATCTTGATTCCAAAACCAGATGAAGGACAATAGAAGATAAGAAAAATTATAGGTTCGTTTTACTTATAAACACAGATGCAAAAATCTTAAATAAAATACTGGCTGACTAGATCCAATAATGTATTTTAAAAACACACGGTGATCATAGGGTTCACGTCCCAGGAATGCAGGAAGGAAGGAATGGGGACAGCTCCTGTCCCAACTTCCCTGCGGTATATATGATAGTGTCCCAGCAGATGGCAGTGCAGAGTCTTGTGCCAGCAAAATCAGTATATTGTGACAGAGGGAAGTCACGTGTATTGAAGAAGTGGGCTGTTTGAAGAAGTGGCACTTTGACCTGCACCTGCAGGAAGGGACCAGGAAGACATCAGTCTTGCAAGCACAGTTCAACCTCAGAAACCCTCATTAATAGGCTAAAAGGAGGGAAGGAAATCACATCTCGATTGATGTAGAAAAAAACTGAAAAAGTCCAACAATCTATTTAAGATTTTTTAAAAAGCTGCCAGCAAACTGGCAATAGAATAGAATTCCCAAATTTTAATAAAGTTTATTTACCAAAACCGTACAGCAAACATTAAACTCAATGGAGAAACTTGACATGCCTTCTCCGTCACATTGGAACAAGACAAGGACGCCCCCTTTCATCATTTTTGTTAACATAGGGGTAGAGGTCCTGGACAATGCTATAACGAAAGAAAAAGAAGTAATAGGACTGCAAGGGAAGAGGAACAACTGTCATTATTTACAAAAATAACCAACTAGAGAATATAATTTTTAAAAATAGAGCACCATTCACAATAGAAACCAAACTATAAAGTATTTATGAATTAACTTATACTATACAAGACCTCTATGGGGACCACTTTAAAACTCTAGGAAAAAAAGTAAATAAATAAAATAAAAAACTGTAGTAAAGAGTTTTATAATGGATGATCTGAAATATTTGGAGAGAAAGTCTATGCTCCTGAATGGATGACTTGACAGTATAAAGCTGTTGTTCATTCCCAATCAAAATTCCAGGATTTTGGTGGTGTTGCTGTTGTTTCCTGATAAACCTACTCTACAATTTCTCTGTGACAATCAGATCCACAAAGAACTAGTTGACCTTGTAACAGAAGCGTGAAGGGGGTGAGTTGCCCCAATGGATATTAAGACACCCCACAGAGTCACAGCGTGAGGACAGCGAGGTGCCCGCAGGAGAACAGGCAAAGGGACCAGAGACTGAAGGGAGGGCTCTGAGAGAGCCCCGCAGAGCCCCTGGGCACCTGATGAACAATGAGGGCAGTGCCACAAAGCCAAGGGGCAGCACTGGTGGTTTGGAGGAGGACATGGAAATTGGGCTCATTCTCAGGAGAAACATAAAGCTGGTTTCACAGCCAGTGCCCCACTGAAACATGTACCCCTAATGGCAAAACTGTCACTTACCAGACATAATATATGGTTGATTACGGTTGTAACAGAGGAGCAGGGAAGGGATTCTTAAACAAAACACCAAAAACGCAGTTATATATAAGGCAATGGATTTTGCATTTGATAGATCATGATGGGGTCTCTGTTCAGGGAAGGGAACTGCAGGCAAAGTTCACAGTGAGAAGACACTTGCAGTGTCTCAAAACCGCAATCCATCGACGGATAGAAAATAGGAGATTACCTCGGGGCCGTCACCCCGTTCCTGGGCCCCTGGACAGTTCCCACCCAGCTCCTCCGGGGGCGGCGCGGTGTGGAGGAGAGGCTGAGGAGGTGAGGGGGCGCCCCACGGGTTGGTGCGCATGGGGCACGGGTGCCCAGAGGTCCCCAGAAAGGGAGGAGGGGCTCCCGTCTGGGCGGCTGGGAATGGAAGGAAAGGCTGGATGGAGGGACCTATCGGGAAATGAATGAATGAATGAATGTTGTCTTTTCTAAGATCTCCAAGCTCTTCCAAAGGAAAAGATCATCAAAGTAACGGAGTCCGCCGAGAGGGCATCCCACCCCCAACTGATTCCTCTGCCCGCGGGTCCCCCACCTGCTCCCGGCGCCCCTGCGCGCTAGCTAGGGCCGCGGTCCGGTTGCCAAGGCTGCTCACCGGCTGTGGGGGCGGGGCCGCTGGATCCAGCCACTCCCCCCAGGCCTCTGCCTCCGCCGCCTCGCCGCCCTCCCGCCCCCCGCACTTCAGTCTTTCGGTTGGACAAACGTGGAAGGGCGTCCCAACCCGTATCCGCGGGGACCGGGGACACCCAGCATCCGCCTGATGTCCCCTCCGCGGGCAGGGGTCCCCTGCGCTGACCAGCCCTGCGCTGCGCGGGGCCGGGCTCCCAGAATTAATACGGCTTTTAAAAACCATCGATTAACCGAGCCGCCTCGGAGTGGAAATAAGGCCTGGGGTCCCCAGATCCTGCATGTGGGCAAGAGATGGGGCAGGGCCGGGGCCACCGGACCGTCCCCACTCACCACGCAAAATCCAATGGCCTCCGGTGAGGACTCCAACCCTGCGACCCACACACAAGAGTTCCCAGCTCCGCCCCTTACCCGGAGCCAGCGACCCTCACTAAAGTGTGACAGATGCTGGCACGTCCGCAGGTGACAGGACAATGATCCAACTCGGGGAGCGGGGGCTCTGGGGAGGGGCTTCCCCACGAGCGGACTCTGAGCCCCGGGTCCTGGGAAACGACGCTTCAATCAGGGATAGGGACCCTCTCTGTAAAGGGCCTGGAGGGTAAATATTTTGAGATTTGCGGGCCGCAGGATCATAGCCACTCTCAACTCTGCCGTCTGTGGCCAGACGGTGGCCATCGATGCTAGTGACGGGGTGGGGGGGCTGTGCCCATGAAGCTATGGACCGAGTTTTGAATTCCATATACTTTGCACGTGCCACGAAAGTGTTCTTCTTTTGACTTTCGCCACAACCACTAAAAATGTAAAAGCCGTTTGAGCTCCAGCCACGCGGCTGCGCTTGGCCGGTAGCTGGCTGACCCCCGCCTTTGACGCCGGAGTCTGTCTCACAGGCCTTATCAGAGCCTTTAACGCATTGTGAGGCTCCAGGAAAGTGCATCCCCAAACGTACGTGGTTATGGATCTCTTTTTCCCTCCTAATGCCCATCATTCTCTGGAACACTAACGTTCTGTGAAGCAGTTTGAGAAAAAGTTTCCCTGGAGTCCTGATAGAGTTTCCGGCACCAGGACAAGGAAAGGCTTTGGGAGGAGGGGGTCCGGGAGGGGGGTTTCCCAGCGCCAACCTCAGAGAAGACAGACTATAGGGGGCGGAGGCCGAGGCAGAGGGCAGTGGGGACCGGAGGCGCCCTCTGCCCCTGCCCCCAAGGCTGGGGCACAGCCTGGGCCGGGACGGAGGACCACTGTCCCCTCCCATGTGGTCCCCTGACCTCCCAGAAGCCCCTCCAGAGGCTAAAGGCGCGAGGCCCGCACGGTCCCCCATGCGGGTGGTGGCCGGTCAGGAGGCAAGGAGGGGGCTTGGGGGCGACCGCGGCGGGACGCCAGCCCCCCTCTGGCCCGTGTTGCAGCCGCAGCCCCGCGCTCACCATGTCCGAGACGCTGTGACCTCCTCGCACCAGGACGGACACCATCTGCAGGAAGAGGCGGCGTCGGCGGGGGGACCCCGGGCCCCTCCCCGCCCCGTGCCCGGGCGGCCCAGGCACCTTGTCCGCGGGGAACCCGACCGCGGCGCCCGCGCACGGGGTCCGGTTCTGGCTCCAGCTCGTGGCGTCGTCGAAGTGGGTGTTGGGGACCCAGAATTTGTAGGCGGCCCGGGTCAGCGCTGGGGAGGGGGCGACTGAGTGGTCCCCGGGGTCGGCAGCATCCGGGTTCCCGCCGTTCGCCGCCGTCCCCCAGGGAGGACGACCTCGCCCACACAGGCCGGCGCGGGTCACAGAGCCGGGGCGAGATGGGGTCCCCGCGGCGATCCGCACCCAGGCCCTCGCCCGTCCCCGCGTCAGACCAGACCCTGCGGGAGCCCGGCCCCGACGCTCGCCGACTAACTTCTATTGGAACTGTAGAGCCCTCTCAGACGTGCCCGCCTCCAGGACGCCGGCCAAGATCGCCTCCTCGCCCCACCCCCAGTTAGCCCGGCGCTGGAGCGGACGACCCGGCCGGGTAAGGATGGCGACAACCGAGGGCGGAGGTGAAAGGGGCGGCGGAAGCCTCTGTCAGGTAGAAGGGGCCGGGGGCGGCTCTGAAGGGAGCTGTGTCCTGAGGGAGCCGCGAGGGGCTTAAGAGGGGGGACAGGGACGGGGCTGCAGTTTTTAAAGCTCCCGGGCGTTGGGGGGCGGGCACCGAAGACACGCACCTGGGTGCGACGCGGGAGGGTCAGCGGCGCCCTCGGGGACGGGAAACTGAGGCAGGCCGCGGAGGCGGCAGGACTGAGGCCTGGCCCACTCCGCAGACGCGCCGACTGCCCGAGGGCGGGAGCCGAGGCCCCAGCGCTGGGCTGGCGCCCCTCGCCCGCCTTGCCGGCTGGGGCTGCGCAGCGCAGGGGCCACCCGGCCGCGCCCTCTGCGCCCAGGGAGACCGGGGCGGGTCTCGCAGCCCCGCAGGCTCTCGCCGCCCACCCCTCGGGGGACCTTGACCCTCTGGGCCCGCCGGGCCCGGGCCCCCAGCAGACCGCGCCCCGCTTACCGCAGAGCTGCAGCCACAGCAGGGCCCGGCCCAGCGCGCCCATCTCGCCTGGGCCCCGCGAAGCCACCAGGAGACTTTGCCCTGCGGGGCCCACGTGACCGGGCGGGATGGGGTGGGGGCGGCCGGGATGGTTACACATTTACCTCCACACCCGCCTGGCCGATTCTGCAGGCCCCTCGGAGGCGCCTGCTCCACCTCGCTCCTCCCCCACACTCAGCCCTCCAGGACCTGAGGACCTCGGGTGCTCAGGACGAGGGGCTCCTCAGGACAGACCTGCCCCAAGAAAGGGTGTGTCGAGGGGGTAGGAAACAACCTTTGGGCTCCCCCTGTCTCTGTCCTGGTTACAGCTGGGGCTGCACCTAATCTGCCCACCTACTGGGGCTTGGGTGTCCACTCTCCAAGCAGGGCCCTCCTGCCTCCTGGCCTACATGGACTGTGGATGGTGGCAGATGGATGGTGTGTGGTGTATCGTGTGTAGATGAATGGGGAATGGTTTATAGTGGGTGCATGGTGAGTGGTGAAGAGTATTTGTACTGGTTAGTGGATGAATGAGGAATGGATGGATGGGAGATGGTGACAATTATATAAATGGATGGTATCAAGGGATGGTCGATGGAGAATGAGTGGTGCGCCATTAGATGGATGTTGGATGGTACTGGTGAATGATGGATGGTGGCTAGATAGTGGATAGTGGATGGATGGTTGATGATAAGTAGATAGATGATGGATGGTAGATGAATGTCAACAGTTGTTAGTGAATGGTGGATGGATAAGTGGGTAGATGGTGGATCATGGATGGTGAACGGTATTGGGTAGAGGAGAGTAGATTGTGGGAGGATGGGCGATGGATGGTAGATGGTAGATGAAGGAGAATGGTGGAAAGAGTGGCAGGTAGACAAAAAAAGGTGATTGGATAAATGGATGGTTGATGGGTAAAAGATAAATTGTAGTACTAAATGAAGGTATATGGATGGACAGTTTGTTGAGATGAATGGTGGGTGAGAAAAGGTGGTGGATTTTGGATGGTGAATGGATGGTAGACGAGATTGAATGGTGGATGGATGGATTGACAGTGGATGAATGAATGGTGAATAGGATTAGATGAACTGTGCACAGGTGGATGATAGAAAGATGGTGGATGGATAGATGAGAGTAGAGATGATGATTGGATACAAATGGGTGGATGGATGGCCAGGTGGACAGACTGTGAATCAGTACAGGATAGGTGAATAGGGGGATGTTGGAGGGATGGGTCTGGGGTAGATGGTTGTGTTTAATCAGAGAGATGGATGCTTGGCTCTCTGCACGATGCACAGAGGGGTGGATGGCGGTGAGTGGGTGGAGGATGGATTTGTGGGTGACAGGATCATGGAGGTGAGTGGGTGGGTGGATAGGTTCTGCATGGTAAACTAGGTGATGGACAGTGGGTTTATGGGTAGTGGGACAAATGGTGAATTATTAGGGGATGGGCTGTGAGTCAAGAGAGAGATGGATGGGGGACCTGTGAACGGTGGGGGCCAGCAGATGATGCCTTATGGGTAACGGCTGATGGAAGGAGTATGGTGGTGGGTGGGCCATTGGGTTCAGGATGACCTGGTGGTGGATGGTGAATAGGGAAGGGTGGATGGAAGGGTAGATGATGGAGGTGGATATATAGAGGGAGACCGTGGGTGAAGGGGAACTACTGAGCTTTGGAGACTCCCTGGCACCTTCCTCCCCGCAGGTCACCCTGCCCTGTCCTGCATCCCCACCCTCACCTGCAGACCTCCCGTCATTAGCACCCTTCACTCTGCCCGTCTTTGCCTCTGCCACACACACAGGAGATTTCATCAGAGGACAGAACCCGCCGCTAGGGGCGCTCTTGCCTCTTTATGCTCCAGGCAGGGGCAGCGGCTCCTCCGACAGGGAAGGAGGGAGTGAGCACACAAGTGTGTGCCACCCTTTATCCTCATGGGATGGAGGCATCTGCTCTTAGTGGCCCTGTGGCCCCAGCCCAGCTTGGGACTGGGAGGGTGGGTCTGCCTGGTCCTGGAATTTGGCTTGCCTGCCCGTTAGGCCAATAGGACGCTCCATCCTCCAAGGCAGCCCCGACAGGACAAACGGGCTATTTTGGGGTCAGATCTGCTTTGCCCCTTGTCTAGCTTCTCGCTGGGAAGGAGGCAGTTCTGTTTATTGGGTCTCCTTGGGACCCCACCCCAGGGAGTCTGGCTCTGCTCCCCTCACATCCTCCCACCACCCCACTTCTGGCTCTCAATGAGAGCGCTTGGGGGCCCAGCAAACTTCCCCCCGGTGCCCAGAGCACCGTAGCCAAGCCTGAAAGGCCAGGCGGGCCTCCCCAAGGCTGGGGGCTCCTTTGTCTCAACAGAGAAAGTAGACTGCAATGAGGAGAGGGCCCAAGGAGGCTCCGGAGGGTGGGGTGGCTGGGCCTTGGGGAAATGGAACACTCTGATCACTCCTGCCCCACGTGGGCAGGCCATTCCCAAGAGACCGTGCTGTCTGGAGAAGGCAGCAAGGCTACCCCGGCAGGCAGGGGAGGCTACCTGGAAGAGGCGGCGTCAAAGCCGAGACACGAAGGATGAGGTCACAGCTGCAGCCAGCGTGGAGGCTGGACTGAAGGCGGCAGAACAGGAGTTGGAGCTGGTCAGCCGTGGGGTATTGGCATCCATCCCCCTACCTGGACAGGGGCATCCCTGAGCAGAGGCTGGAGGTGGGTCCAGCTATCAGAGGTGGCTCAGAGAGGAGCCCATGCCAAGGCAGGAGACGGCACCAGCCCTGGCCCAAGAGCTGCCACAGGGTCCCCAGAATGCCTCAGGAGCAAAGACAAGGGAAGGTTGGACCACGCCGCAGGTGTCACGTGCTCACAGAAACTGCAAGCACAGGTGGCCGCACACCCAGGTACTTGTGGGCACACGCTTTCGAACTGGTCAGGACGTCATTGGGAAGTGGGAGAAATGCAAAGTCCCAAAGAAAGTTTCTTCCCGTAACTAGGAAATCCCATGAAGCAGCTGCTTCAGGCAAGGTTGGATCCAGGGGCTTGGGCTGTCTGGTCTTTGTGTCTGTCCGTATGTCTCTGTCTTGGCTTGACTGCCCTCACTGTGTTGGTTTCCTTCTGTGCACAACCTTCTCCTCGTGACAGGGAAGGTGGCCTGGGAGAGCTGGATTGCCCCTCCCTGGTTAGGCCATTGTGCAGGGTCTCCGCGAGGTCTCTGGTTGGTTCCTGTTTCAGCTCTGCACCACTCACGTGACCTGGAGTTGCTGTGCTCAGATTGGCCTTCACGGCCCTCCCCTGGTGTGAGGGCACCATGAATGACAGCCCTGCAGCCCTGGGGGTGGGGGTGAGGGTGGGCAGACCTGCCCGCAGCCATGGTCCCCACGCAGACTCCCAGGGCCGGGGAATCACTCCCTTGCGTCTTTCCCTCCCCACTCCCTTCTCCACAACTCTGGGGACAGATCTAACTCCATGATCAATTCCTTAGCTCCTCCCCCCCAGGTTGTCCCAGACTTGCTGTGTAGCCTTGGCCAGGTCCCTGCACCTCTCTAGGCCTTAGTGTCCCTCTGGAGGGACTGAGGCTCCAGCGTGCACGGTTCTATTCCTGAACACCGGGGGAGGTGGGGGGGGCAGTGAGGATGAGGGCAGCCCCTCTCAGCATGGCTTCCCTTTACTCAGGTCTCTGCACAAAGTCACCTCCCCAGAGAGGCCATCTTGTGCTCCCGCTGTCAGCATCCACCACGACGCGCCCCGTGTGGTGTGGCCTTGCTCACTCTCTGCGTGTACTGCCTGGAGCACAGGAGACGCTCCAAAAATACACATGGAAGGAAGGGTGGGCTGACACTCCTGAAGGCAGGCTGGTCACCCCCAGGCCCTACAGCCCCACAAAGGCCTCTGCCAGGCCAGCCCAGAGATCCTTTGACCCTCAGACCTGTGATTTGCCCTCCAACCTCCAGATTTCTCTTTGGGCCTTTCATTCATCCCCACATGTGGTGTCAGGCCTGCAGGAGGACTGGGAGCACGCCTTGCTGGGTTTGCTGCTGGACAGGGAGACGCATGATGGACACAAGATGCACCCCTCGGTTCTAATCAGAGCCCTGAAGAAGCACCAAGGGGACGGCTGGAGTGTGCTGTGAGGGTTTGCGGGAGTCGTTTAGGCAAGGTGGCCAGGGCAGGCCTCTGTGAGAGGGACATCAAGCCAAGGCCTGGGATATCTACAGGAAGAGGAAACAGCCAGTGCAAAGGTCCTGAGCCCGCAAGGAAGGCAAGAAGCCCACACATGGGGGCATGGAATGGAAGGCTAGGCGGTGAGGCTGGGGGAGTTGCTGGCAGCTGGATTTGATGCAAGTGAGAGTGGAGCACAGGAGGGTGTGAACTGGGGGGGTATCCACCTGGCTTGAATAGGGCTCAGCTGGCCGCTCGTCAGCCCGGCGGGGAGATGTGGGGCACCCCTGGTGGTGTCCAAGAGTAGTGGGGAGATGTGGGGCACCCCTGGTGGTGTCCAAGAGTAGTGGGGCCAGGCTCTGACACAGGCTGTCCTGGGTTTGAATGCTGTGTGAGGCTGCACAATTCCCTTAGCATCTCTGTTTCATCCTTCACCTGCAAAGCCAGGGTAGCAGTGCCCGCCTCACAGGACACCAGGGCGAGACGAGGCCTGGTGCCCCTTCATGCTGCCACCCTGGCATGGGGGGTAAGGGGAGCACCAGGAGACGAGGGGCTCAGCCCCGGGGCATCGTCCACCCCTCTTCCGTGGACGACGGGAAGAGGAGGACATCCGGGAGAGCCAGGGGGCTCAGGAGCACTGAGCTGGGAGCTGCCCCTGAGCTGGTCACTAAACCCCCATACCAAGACGGGGAGGGTTCTTGCAGGGGTCCAGCCAGGGGCCCGCCGCCGTCCTGTGGCGCTCTCCCATCCTTCCGGGTGGGAGGTTTGTCACCTGTCCCCCCACCTTTGTATGGAGGGGAGGGTGTGTGGGGGAGTTCACAAGTCTCTGGGTCAAGAGGAGCCACAGCACGTCAGGGACACTGGCTCGGTGCCCCAAAACCCTCGCTGTTCCTCCCTGGGACTGGCTGGGCCAAGACATGTGAGTGGACGAGCCTCGGGC